TTACAGTCACATTCCTACTCGGTCTTCTCGCTTCTACGTCAAAAACCTCTCTTTGCGACTCTTGGAAAGCCTCTTTGACCAATTTCGCACATATCCTTCTTCGATTACAAAGATCACAACGACTTCTGAAGCTGAGATTGGCAGCCGATGTCGACAACGAGGAGTTCCTGAAGGAGCTGGTAAATGACGGCCACCTAGGATTGGATGGTACACAGGAATATGTGGACTGGCTTCTAATTCAGGTATTCGATGGTCATTCACAAATGAAGCTGTCGATCACTAACGGTACCAGGCAGAGAACCGATTTCTTATCCGTCCCACGCAAGCCATGGTTGCAATGGAGATGATTTCCCCACATTCTGGCAAGAATACTGCCCTGCAGCTTCATATGGGGGAAGGAAAGTCTTCCGTGATCGTACCTATCTGTTGCGCTGCACTAGCCGATGGCAAAAATGTGGTACGGGTAGTCGTGCTAAAACCTTTAGCTGTGCAAATGTTTCAGCTGCTCGTGGAACGGCTCAGCGGGCTTACCAACAGGCGAATTTTCCACCTTCCTTTCTCGCGCTCCTTGCGCATTACTTCCAGTGACATCCAGTCATTGTTTGAAGAATGCAAACGCGTTCGTGGTATCATTGTCGCACTACCAGATCACATTCTCTCTTTCAAGATGATGGCCGTGGAGCAACAGCTTCCCCGTGCGAACGCAATCAGACAACCACTGGTTATGCCCCTATTGGATACCCAGCGATGGCTTGATAAGTACACTCGCGACATATTGGATGAGAGCGATGAACTGCTGCATGTTCGCTTTCAACTTGTGTACACTATGGGCGATCAACAGCACTTAGAAGGTTATCCTGATCGATGGACTACAACGCAGCAGGTGATGACCCTTGTGGCAAAACATGCTTGCCTCCTTCAGCAAGAATTTCCTCTTGGAGTAGAGTTCCAGGAAGGCGCTATCGGAACCTTCCCACATTTCAGAGTCCTGGATGTCGACGCAGGCAAAAGATTGGTCAAGCTGGTTTCTGACGATATCCTTGCTGGCAACCTCCCAAATTTCGTATTTGAACATGTGCCATCTCATATCCAAGACTCCATCCGCGAGTATCTTACTCAGTTCACTATTGAACCGCAGCTCCTTCACGAAGTCCGTAGCTATTGTACTGGGTCCAGTATGTGGAATGGACTACTGCTCATTCGAGGACTCCTTGCACACGGTGTTCTGATATACACAATGAAGGAGCGGCGATGGCGTGTAGATTACGGTCTAGATCCTCAACGTACGAAGCTTGCTGTGCCATATCGAGCCAAGGATGTTCCTTCATCTAGGGCAGACTTTGGACATCCAGACATCGCAGTCACACTCACATGTCTTTCGTACTACTACGGAGGCCTCACTGAGGAACAGGTGGCCCTCTGTTTCCGGCAGCTACTCAAGCAAGACAATCCCGTATTGGAATATGAGACATGGATCGAGGGGTTGTCTTTAGACTCGCTTCCAGAGAATCTGCGACACCTCAGTGGAATCAACATGGAGTCTACTGAACAATTCACTACCTGTTTGGTACCTCTCTTCGGGCGCAACAAAGCTGTCGTAGACTTCTTCTTGTCTCGGATCACCTTTCCACAAGAAGCGAAAGAGTTTCCAAAAAAGTTATCTTGTTCTGCCTGGGATCTCGCCGAGCGAAAATCATCTGGGTTACCTACCACTGGTTTCAGTGGAACAAATGATTTTCGTTACTTGCTACCCACCAACATAACGCAGCATGACCTAGCTCACCAGCGCGGCACGAATGCCAAAGTTCTCAATTACCTTTTGCAGGAAGAGAATGATTTTTTTGACTCGCTCGCAGCTGGCAGAGGCGCTGAAGAACTTCTTAATGCCATCACGAAGGAGTCGCCGGAAATCCGCGTCTTGCTCGACGTGGGCGCACAAGTGCTTGATTTGGAGAATGATGAGGTGGCGATGATGTGGCTGGACATCAATAAAAATGCTCAAGCGGCAATTTATTTCGACAAGCACGATGAGCTCGTGGTGCACACTCGGGATCATGTCATAGAATCATTCTGCGCATCTTCCTTTGCTCAGAAACTGGACCAATGTGTATTGTATTTGGACGATGAACACACCCGAGGAACAGATGTGAAGTTGCCCCGTGGATTCCGCGCAGCTGTCACGTTAGGCCCAAAGGTCACCAAGGATCGCCTTGTCCAAGGTGAGGACGCAATGTATATGTTCGTTGATGACGTTTAGTAACATATTGCTAGGTTGCATGCGTATGAGAAAGCTCGGCCACGGCCACTCAGTCATGTTCTTCGCACCTCCAGAAATAGATCGCAGCATTCGAGCCGTGAACAACAATCTTGATGAACGCACTCATGTGTCGGATATCCTCGTGTGGGCGATGACTGAAACATGCTTGGATATTGAACACCGTGCTTCACAATGGTTTCAGCATGGAGTGGATTTCAAGTCTCGCCACAATGCATGGTCGTCGTTCTTATCTGGTGATATTACGCCCACCGAACTCACCCATTCGTGGCTACAGCCAGAGGCTAAGCACTTGGAAAAGTTATATGCTCCAGCTCTGACGGGCACCATCACTTCGCAGACATCGCTAGACGAAGAGCTTCTGGAGATATGCAGCGGCCTGGGGTTGAGCATTTCGCCTGACAACCGTACGGACGAAGAGCAAGAGAGAGAGGTGATACAAGAGATTGAGCGCGAGCCCGAGGTGGAGAGACCACCAAAAGTGCCGGCTGCTACCCATCACATCAACGAGGACGTCCGGTACTTCATCCAAACAGGCTGTATTCCGAACGGATCTCGGGCATTCACTGCCGTTTTCGACACCCTCACTACAACTTCGGCTGCGTTCTCGGGGTGTCAGCCATGGTCGCGAGACGTGTTTGCCTCGAGTGATTTCGCCACAACAGTTCAGGCCGCAGACAAAACGGACAGCTACATTCGCCCAGTCAATTGGATTCTTTCGAGTAATACAGCGCCAGTGCTAGTCATTGTCAGCCCCTTCGAGGTCAACGGTTTACTATTTGAAATTAGGGCAAGTAAGCAAGTTCACTTGCACGCTTATACACCTCGCATCATCAAGATGATGAAGTCATGCGATGACTTGCGCCTCTATGTTACACCATCACTCCCCGCGCGATGGAAGCCACATGATACCCTCATCCAGCAGCTCAATGTCTTTGCTGGGCAATTATACTTTCCTCGTCACCGCGCATATGTCAAGCTGTGTCGCTTCTTGGGGATTTATACTGCAGATCTCAAGGACCAGGGCACCTTTGAGATTCAAAGCGATGGATTCATCAAACCGGAGCATCGGCCTCCTGCTGCGAATCTTCCCAACAACTTCCAACAGTCGCCCATCCCCATGTTGAAGGCTATTTTCGGTATCCGCCGCAAGGGAATGGGGTACTTACCTACGCACCTCGGGAAGCTATTGGTTCCTCGACAGTTGACAACCAAGGACTTCGATGATCGGCAAGTCGGAACTTTTCTGTATGCAAACATTCATTGACGCAGTGATCCCATAGTGTTCTCCAGTGATTAGAGATACTGTCATTCGTAGATTGTGCCACATTCACCATCTTCTAGCAGGTCTTACAAACTACGTGATGTCTTTTACTCATTGCTACATTGATCACGGTTGTGGACTTGAATTTGCTAGTTACTCTATCAACATACCATATTATTCCTCATTTTGTGCAGTATTCGGTTAGAAGTAAACGTTATTCCCAGTACGAGCATGCGAATGTCAACCCCATATTCAACTTCTGCACTGGCGCATCTCTTGCCAGTGGTGAGGGGCAAAAACCCTCAAACATATTCGCCACACGATTTTCACTCAATTCCGACAAGATCGCGCATCTAACAGCGACCTGTATCGTCAGGGGGAGTGGCTCTTAACTATAAGCCGAGTGTACTTCGGCGGGCACACCACCAAGTATGATTTTACGGGAGTTGGAAGGTGCGAGGCTCATAGTAGATATGTATTGCATGAGACAAAGCTCCGTTATATATCGCTGGCGGTATCTGATAGAACAGAACTAGGTTACAAGGTAAAGTGTATCAGAACCCGTCAGAATCAAAATCCAACGCACATACCTACCCAGTCGACATCCTTGCGTGCATGTATAGCATAGTTGGCAACGCAAGTCTTACATAATGGCCACGAGGATCTCAGACCCCTCGTAGAAGAATTGACGGTCCGAGGGTACCACTGGTTCTGCAGAAGGTGAAAGTGAGGATGACGATGTGGATGTAGGACTGATGAGATGATCCGAGTATGTCGTAGTCAAGAGATTGTAGGAGCTTATTCACTAAGGTTCCGATTATTATCCCTTCTTGACGAACGAGATCCTACCAGAAAATAATAAACTATTAGCTATGCCGGATGTCACACAGGAAAAGAAAGCAGCGCGCCAAACGAGATTACAGTCCTCCACCCGACTGTCACTTTATTGAGAAAACATCATGTGCGTCTCTCTTGATCCCAGGTAAAGTATCTTTGCATTCAATGCATTGAACGCGGGGACAACATACTCACCACATCTCCTTCTTTGAAGCTACTGAAAGCCTACCACGCATCGTGGATCTATCTCCAGAATCTTTACTTCCATGTTCGCCTGCGCCAGAGTTAAATGAGGTAAGGTAGGACACAACGACCATTCCGGTCCATCCAATTTATGCCATTCTTCTTTCACCGTCGATGGATTTGGATAGCAAAAGGTTTGCAGATGCTATCACGTTAGAAATTATAATGGTTCCAATTGAAGAATGTGAACATAGTACAATTTGGTCCTCGAGAAGGGACTGTTTGTTGATCTTGGAAGATAATGCGATTGACTTGCGATGATTTTATTGGTAGGAGAAATAATAGTAATAACATGTTCCAGTTGGGGCGTGAGTTTAAATTAGTCACGTGATGCTGCGCACTGCTAAGCAATGCGTCGCATGGCGGTACAGTTATGGATGCCTCGTTGAACCACGAAAATGAAAACTAACCTCCCGAGCCACAACAACTGCGTGGATTTTTTTCAAAATATTTTTGCCCCATACATAGACCTCTGCTTGAGGTCTTCGCACGTTTTAAAGAAAAAAAAGTGAGCCGTTCGAGCACGGCATCAGCAACAGTGAGGAGGTGCCTATTTTGCTGAGTATGGCTCAATGAATCAGCCTCGATTAGGTAAGAAAAGCTTATCAATCACTACGTTTCTGATTCGAAACATAGATATGTAACTACATTAATATTCGTCGCTGGCGCATGAGCCTATATCATCCAGATCGAAACACTCGCCATCGCTTTCACACTCCTCAGTTACAATTACCTTTGGCCGTGGTATGGCTGCAATGAGCTTGCCCAAAGTGGGCTTCTTCTCTGTGAGTTTCCACTTCTCTTCTTTTGCGCGAGCCTTCTCTGACTCCCATATCTTTAACGCTTCGTGATAGTGTTCTCGCCGTGCCTTATTCTCTGCCTTCCTCGCGTCCTCAAGCTTTTTCCAATCTGCCAATGCCTCAGCGTGTCTCTTCCGCTCTTCGGTCCTCGTCCTCTTCTCAGCTGCAGCTCTTGTTTGAGCCTCCTCGAACTGAACAACTCTTTCATAGAACACGTCGCCTGATAACAAGCGTGGTAAGCCATCCCCGAGAATCTTTCCACCATTATTTCCTGCCTGCTTTTTCGACTCTTGATGAGCAAGCTGACTGCGAATTTTAGCACAGTACATCTCATTCAAGATATTGGATGCCTGGAGTGCGATAACGCGTTTTTTCAGTGCAGCATTGGCCGCCTCTGCCTCGTGGAGAGCTGCAAGTAGCAAGACTTCGTTTGTGGTTGTTGGATGAATGTTTGTGATGGATGTACGTGATTTCTTGATGGGGGAGATAGTGTGGGCTGTGGCATGCCGCAGGTCAGTTTGCGAGTTCATTGGTGTCGACGAGACGAGTTTTGACAATGAAGTTTCAGCGAGTTGTTTGATGATGGTTTCAAGATCCTCCTGAGTACTCGATGATGAGTTTACTGAATGTTCTTCATCTCCGTTGTCGCTAAGCTGTGTTGACATCCTTTGAAGGGCATTGGCAAGAATTTTTACGGGTGTGGATGGTGCGATTGGAAGATATGATTTAGTTGAGGTTTCTTTACTTGGAGCCAGCATGTTGCTAGGGACGACATCACAATCGAATGGCCAGACACCAGTCTTGCGGAAAGCTGTGCGAATAAGGTCTGGTGTGAGTGCGCGGAGATGAGCACGGCCATAAATGGTGATAAAGTTGGCCTTTGTGACACCTTCCCCTTTCTCTCTCTCCCATTTGTCCCGCTCCTCACTCCAGCTCCGTTTTAGGACTGCGAAAACAACGACATCCAAGCCTTGGTATACATGGGTTGTGTGAGCTGGATAGCACAGGATATGAATACGATTTTTACGGGCATACTGCAGGAATCCCCGTGTATAATGCGAGTTGTGGCCATCCACAATAAGGAGACGGTCACGTCCGTCTGCCTTGGCCTTCGTCTGCTTGTCGAACTCTTTGATCCATTCAACCCCAATCTCTCCATCTGTCCACCCCTTTTTCGAGTATCCAAGCCTATCATAATGTACGTGATTTTAGCATTAATAACAAATGATTGAAAATGAACTCACGAAGCATTCGCAGGATTTTCTTGTTTCCATTTTACTTGGTAGGCATTGCCCTTTAGAATGACAGCAGGGGGCTGAGCAGTGCCATCAGCACAGATCGTAACGATGATGGTAATGTTTTCTCGATTCCCTGTATGTTGCTGATACTGAGGCCCAGGCCGTCTCCCTCCAATAACACGTTCGTGCTCGCCAGAGTCCGGTGAAATGCCAATTTCGTCGGCTGCATAAATACCGTCTTCATTGATGTCATACTTCTCAAAAACAGCTTCTAGGAGATCAAACCAAGCTTTATTGGTGTGCGGGTTGACAGCTCGTCCGCGTTTTGAGTCGAGCGAGCGAGACCATGATGTCTTGAGACTGTCAGCATGCTTCTCGACAAAGCGATTGGTCCATTTAACACCGACTCCTGGAAATCCATCTCCCAGTCGTGCGTGACATATTTCGTTAACATGTTCGCGAAGTCGCTTATGGCTGAGCGGAAAACCACGGTCACCAACTTCTTGAACATAGGCAATGACTTGTTTCGTCTCCTCCTCAGTAATCCATGCCTTGGCTGCATTTGTCTCGCTCAATGTCTTTCCACCAGCTGCGAGACGGATCAGAGTTGAATAGGATAGCTTGATTAACTTTCCTGTTGCTTCGAAGTTCATCTTTTCGAAGTCATGGCAGATTGTCCTTGCCCCACGGCGTCGAATTCCTGGAGCTTTTGTGAGCTCAGCACGGTATGCTTCGACAGCGCGTGACATGAGGTAGTCACAAGCCTCACGGGCTTCTCGCCTCTTTCGTGTTACAGATTTGGGTCGTCCGGGCATTGTTGCAAGTTCAAGGTGTGAGGTGAAGGTTTTGACACGTTTGAGCCAAGACGGAGCGGAATTCAGTAGTAATTTACTGGACTGTGGACCCTGGCCTAGTATAGATTCCAACTCAGATCACATACCTCTCATGATTTGCTTGCAACTCTGGCAGAAATGCACCTATTTCTATGAATTCAAATGGGCTGGATACCTGAGATGTTCTTCAATGTATTCTGTTTGATGTTGAAGGCTTTGGGTTCCACAGAGGTGTACACAGCAAAGCAGAAATTTCAATTGGGTCAAATTTAGGTTTGTCACAAATGGTAATCACACAATTTCGTCATCGCTTCTCAATCAATTTCAGTCGTGTTTTTTGAGAGTCCAAGAGACATGTATTTAGCAGGGAACTGAGGTGTGTTGAATGTGTAAAAGTATGTAGTTGTGGTGTGATGCGGAAAATGATTCATAGAGCCATCCTGTGTCATTGACCCATCCTTGACTGTACAGGGCGGTACTGCCTTTAGGCATGTCACGGTATGATAGGCCCATGCTGTTCTTTGACTATCCATCGCCTCTTCAGCCAAATCAGCCTAAATTTGATCAACGTTCTTCTGCCTAGGCTACACTTCAAATCAGCGCACAGCTCTCACAGCAGACTGTACTGCTTCCGGAGACCAGAATAACTCCATTTGTGTATAAAACCAGAGGCGCATCCGCATACATCATTATGGTCATTGTCGAGGAGAAGTGCATGCAATCTGTTCCACCCCCTCCTTATTTCCCTAATGCCAGTACTCTACCACCACCCCCATTCCCTGGTGAACATCATGGAGCAGCGAAGCCATCTGACCTACCTCCCCACCTATTATTGAAGATCGTGTATATGACGTTTCCGCAAACGCCTGGGGTTGACGAGGGAAAGATCGAACGGCAGAGAAAGACACTTTGTTGGCTCTCCACACAACTCCGGTCGGTTAATCGGTCGTTTTACATTGGTACGTGCTGTTCAAGTCCTTTGACCATGGTGGCCGGAACTCACCTTGCCAGTGAAGCGTGTGAGCATGTGCTGCGCTCCACATATTTACCCGCATACAATTCGATGATACGCCCTCCCTACTCATCTGATCCATTCCCATTTTCTTCCTCGGCTTCTACTTCCTCTTGTGATACTCTGCAACGAGAGACCAAAGTCCTCGACCTCTTCATCGCACTCAAGGTCCACGAAGATGTTATGGTCGATGACTCATCGCTTCACCTCGAGCGAGAGGATTCGTTCAAAGACCTTTTCGACCTTATGCAACCGCGCAGCCGGCTAGAAGACCTCGTTCGACACTACGGTGTCCGCGAGGGAGTTGTCCATACAAACCCATATGGAGCGAACGCCTCGTCTTCATCGTCCAGCATGTTCAGGGTGAATAACAGCGGAATTGGATCTGCGAGCACGAGCAAGCGGACATCAGACATTGCGCCAGTGCCATTCAGCGCGCTGTCTATTTCGTTCTCGCCAAGGCGGGTTGGCCTCGTGTTAACAGCTTCAGGAAGGAAACGGACAATTGTGGATGTAGCACGGACGAGAGATGAGAAGCTAGAGGTTACCGCAAAGAAACTTGCGTTGCAACTAAAGGCTTGGCTCAGCGATGGTTCAAGATAATCTAGTGGTATCATTTAGTTTCAGAGTCCTTTCTTTCAGTGCATCTTGATAGCACGTGGACTGCAGTTCTCCAAGAATGAAGTTGTGCGTTTCAGGCATGCAACGTTCTAAAAGTACCTGACATGATAAGGCCGAGGGGGTACTTTGCTGATAGGCACATACCTATAGGGATCAGTAGAGATCCACACGATATTGAACTTGAAACCATGTGTGTTCCGGAGTCCTTCCGAGGCTGCGAGACGATCCGAGGGCGAGACGATCCGAGTTTCAGACCCTGAGTTTGATAAAACAGTGGCAGTGGCCACACCCTGAAGCTTCATTTGGGTATCCGGTTCCTCCGAGTCGCCTTGAGGAACTCAGTTATCAAATCAAGCGCTTTATGTTCTGCACATACGAGTCGAAGTCGGTCCAACTTGCCGACGTCAGCTGATCCGTCCAGAAATGTTCAAACTGGTCCCGCTTTGGGTCTAGCACCTACTAGTAGTCTAGTAGCACGCACGTCTCGTGTCTGTATATGCACAGTAATACTCAAGAGTCAATCGATCGTCTAAAAAAATGCCCCGACGCGCAAAGGTGCATTTTGTATCACTGAAATCATCCCTGGTCAATCTCCCAATATCAGTTTACGGTCCCCTTCTCGAGAGACAGATTGTATGTTCACATTATTTCTTCGTCTCATACTTTGACTCTGACTTCGGTTGGAACTACCCTGATCACTATTGCAGCGTCCGCAAACCCTTGCTGTCCACTTGAAGCCCACCGATGGCGAGGGAAGAGAGGTATATGTTGGCTGGACCGGCATGGCTTCTGCATCATCCCTTGCCTCATTCAACTCTACCGCAGCCGAACGTGGAATAGAAACCCTAGAGATAGATCCTCAGTACGCAGCAGGCTTGGGATTCAAAGAAGGAGACGTGGTGCGCTTTTTATTCCCGCGTACAGCTGTTCCTTCCTCCGGCTGATGGTGTAGCTTGAATCGGCAGGTAGAATTAGGATTATTATATGACCTCCCGTACGCAAAGACGGTGAGCACTGAGCCCCTCAGTGCAGATGACTGGGACGTAGTGGTAGGTCTTGACATCCCGGCTGACTAGCTGTCTTGACCCCACCTATGCCAGGAACTGCATGCAGCACACGTTGAAGGTACTCTCCTCTCCCAAGTGCGAGTTGCGAATGTCGGACAAGAGATCAATGTTTGGGTGCTCGGGCGGACGAGAGTACGACTAAGAATCGGTGTGTGCCATCATACTATCTTGTTCACATTGGTACCCCCTACTGATCTTCCCTTAATCGCAAGTCTCGCTCGACACGTCTGTGACCGCGGCACTGCTCACAACCGATACCGAGGTCAGCATTGCCCCCAAGTCGCATAGGAAATCCAAAGCAGAAACCAAATCAACGAGCTTAGAGCACGGAACCGTTGTGTCGACGCAGGACAAGCCCTCGTATCCATCTGAAATCCTCCGAGTGCTCCCTGAGCGCCTTGTCAACTTTCCTGAAACGACCAATCTACGCGACCCCAAAACGCGCGCATACATTCATCCTTACACTCTATCGCTGCTTACAGGGACTCAGTACATCCCGTTCGACCCAAATCCTAACCCTCCGCGTTCGGGATGGTGGTGTGCGCGTGCACGTTGGCTGGAGCCGCCCAAGGATCCGACGGATATCACAAACTCCGGTACTAGAAAAAATGCCAGCATCAAACCAAGTGCTGAAGCTGAGCAGGAGGATGGCGAAGCAAAGATACTGCACCCAGGGTCGAACAGAGAGTTGGGAGCAAAGGATGATAAAGAGAACGGAAAGGACGGGTGGGAAGTGTGGCTGGGAATCTCTGATTCCGTTTTGGAGACCCATGTGATGTTTGTCGGTGAAGTGAAGGGTGGGGTCGGGGTCGGGGACTGGGATCTCGTTCGGTGCGTTGCTTTCTTTTCTTGTATGTAGTTCCACCACCATCGCTAATATAGTGACTTTGTAGGATATCACTCACAGGTGCCCGTGAGCAAGGGCCCACAATAAATGGAAACCTCGATGAGTACGTTCGTACATCCCCTTGGGTGCGACCTCAGCTGATCATTCCGTTAGTCCTGCGTCCGCATCATCCTCGCCTTCAGCTTCGGCAGCGATCTCACCAGAACTAGTGACACCATCGCTTCATCTATCAGGTGTCTCTAATATTCTCGAAGACATAACAAAGACTTGCGTCGCGACCTACGCCGTACATGCGCGCAAAAATGTCGTTCATGGAGGTATGTGTAAAGGATTTTGTTTGCAGCACATTCTGATGGATTTTCGAACCTCTCGTGTCCACATGTATCGCAGTCCCTGGCATTTTAATAACAGGCCGTCAGGGAATGGGCAAGACATCAGTTGCGAAGGAGATCGCGCGCAGACTGGAAGCAGATGAGCGTGTGTATGCTTGTGAGTGTGATATCTTGTGCTCTAATGCTTTTCTGGTCTAACCATTTTTGTTGCTACTCGAAATCGTCAATATCAATCAGCCATACATTATATCGACTTCTCCCCGCTCGCATCCAAGCCCGCTCAGACCCTCGGTGCACTTTTTCGCCACCTCTTTGTGCTAGCACGATGGCACAGCCCCTCCGTCCTTGTCTTCGACAACCTCGACAAAGTCTGTGCTGCAGAGGTCGAGCAGGCGGATTCTTTCCGCCAGCGACATATAACGGAGCTCTTCCTCATGCAATATAGTTCCAACGCACGCCTTGCACCATCCAACTTCCGTGGTATCGTACTCCTCGCCACAGCAGAAAGTCAGACTAGCGTGCACTCGCTGCTACATACGCTGCATGTCTTTAAGGATGTCGCTTCCATTCCTCCGCCGGGAAGGGAGGCACGGAAGGAGGTGGGTTCCTATTTCATTATTGGTATCTTTTGAGTAGAAACGACTTGAACAGATTCTCGCCAGTCTTGTGTCACGCCGGCTTTCCATGGCCAAGGAGCCACTGTCATTTGTTGTCGACGAATCCGACCCACCTGAGTACACTCGACTCGCAGTAGGGACGGAGGGCTATTCTCCTGTAGACCTGCGCGACCTTGTCACACGGACGATACAGGTCGCCGTTGGACGGGCAGTGTCAGAAGTGGGCGTGGGCGTTGAGAAGGTGAGCATCATCTAATGCACATGTTTCACTATTTGACGATGGTTCGGAAAGGTCACACTTTCGGCGAAAGATTTTGTAGAGGCCCAAGAGGGATTTGTGCCTCTCTCGCTGAGGGATGTGCCCTTACAAAAGTCGGACGTTGAGTGGGCTGACATTGGCGGTGCGTGCTTCCCTTTGAGAATATCTTATCGTTGGTCCATTAATTGTGGTGGTGCAGGCTTAAAGGACACCAAGCTCGCGTTGAGGGAAACCTTGGAATGGCCGACGAAGTATGCTCAATTGTTCAAGCAGTCTCCGCTGAGGTTGAGATCTGGGTGCGTTTATAATACTCTCTGTTGTGGATGCGATTTATGGAAGGAATGCAGGCTACTATTGTACGGCTATCCTGGCTGTGGAAAAACGCTACTTGCGTCAGCCGTCGCGAAAGAGTGTGGGTTGAACTTCATCAGCATCAAGGGCCCAGAGCTGTTGAATAAATATATCGGACAGAGTGAAAAATCAGTGCGTATATATGATTTTTCTCAAGGAAATACTCACTCTGTTTAGGTGAGAGATATTTTCGATCGTGCGTCGGCTGCAAAACCCTGCGTACTCTTTTTCGACGAGTTTGACTCGATTGCACCAAAGAGGCAAGTTTATGTTTATGTACTCTATCTGCTGTATCCATAAATGTTGTCTGCAGAGGACACGACAGCACGGGCGTGACGGACCGTGTGGTGAATCAGATGCTAACCCAGATGGATGGCGCCGAGGGGCTCGATGGAGTCTATGTTCTGGCTGCAACGAGGTGGGTTATTTCCATTGACCACACTATCCGATTGTTGATTTTCCGCAAGTCGACCAGACCTCATCGACTCCGCACTACTTCGTCCCGGTCGGCTTGATAAATCGTTGCTATGCGACCTGCCTGGTATCGAGGACAGAAAAGATGTCAGTGCCCACCGTGTTTCATAACCATAATCTTGACGTTTGTCTTGTGCACCGGTTCAGATTTTGGTTGCAGTATCCCGGAAGCTAACGCTCGCACCCTCTGTGGACTTTGATAAACTTGCAGGTATCACTGAGGGCTTCTCGGGTGCGGATTTACAGGCTCTCGTGTACAACGCGCATCTGGAAGTAGTGCATGCTGCTATAGATGCTGAGAAGGCGGATGGTGATGGTGATGGTGATGTCGAGGCGGGTCGGAGGAGGGTGGGCGCGGGGCTGACTGATGAGGTCCCGGTGAAGTATATGGTGCTGGGCGCTGGGAAGGATGCAGCAAAAGCTGCGTCTAAGGCAGACGAAACGAAAATGCAACGACGAGTAAGAAACTGCGCTCGTGCTGGCACAGATGATTGATATGTTTCTAGCTGCAACAAATCAAGGCATCGAAGTCTGGAGGGATGGAGGAGGACAGCAGGGCTGTTGTGACGCCCAAGAAGGTCTGTGTTTTTTCCTTCTCGTATAGATTCCTCTAATGAGTGCTGTTTTCTGCAGCACGAGATCTCTCAAGAGCATCTATTGAAAGTGCTGAAGACGACAAGGCCGTCTGTTTCACGCGAGGAACAGGTAAGGCTGGGGAGAATGTAAGCGTCTTCTTTTCCACCAAGTGTCAACATTTATTCATCATGGGCAAACTAGATATCGGGAGTTCGTGTCAGATCGAGGTGGCGGCGAGAAGACATTCCCAACACCGGGTGGTGATAGCCGAGTGGGGAGTCGAGCGTCAATGGGATGATGTGCATGTTGAGGCCTGAGTCTTATGAGTATCCAACACAGGATCCGAACTTTGACTGCAGCTCGAGATCGTCCTGACTTCTTACACGGTCACATTAAAAGCATTGTTTATTGCCTCACAACTCCAACCGAGTCTTTCGTAGACCCTATGATAGAAACGGTTATTTCCTTTTTCATCAGGGACTCAGGCCTCCTCAGGCCCAGGAGTAGGCTAAAGTACACTAAACGTTAGACGTGGGTAATACCTAGGTCCCAGTTTATAAATGTGCTCGTGCGTGTCACTCTACAATTTGTTCTGTCTAGATAAGACATTGCAAGATTCCCGGGCCTGCTGTAACTGCAAGCCCGTGTGCCGGCACAGCCCCTGGTTTCCGGGTCTCGGGACCCCGAAACGCGGCAGCTGTGCTTTATTCACAACCAACACGATCTCACATACAGAACTCGTTGAATTTTTTTACAAGTAGAATGGGCCCATCGAAGAAATCCCAGAGACGTGCTAAAGCGCCATTGCCATGTACGTCGATCTTGATAACAACAATTGATGATGCATTTGTTAATATTGCCAACCCTAGTGAGGTCCCGCACAACAAGATCCAAGGGTAGAGTAAGTGTCACGCATGTCATCCATGCATCCTACTCACGTTTTGTCTCGTCATTTGATTCTTATATCCTACACAGCCTATAACAGATCCAGAACAGAACACTCAACTTCTTACGGAGCAACTTCGCTCGCAGGGTCTCTACGCTGCACAAACAGTGGGCGATGGCAATTGCCTATTTCGGGCTCTCTGCGATCAATTCTATGGCTCGCCGTCGCAGCACCTCCAGCTGCGCCAAGATATATGTGACTGGATCGAGGGCCATGCGCAGCGCTATCAACCCTTTTGTGAGGATGAACGTGGACTAAGCGCCCACTTGCGGTGCATGCGAGAACAAGGTGTGCCAGGGCTTGCCCTCCCGATTTCTTCCTGTGCAGCGTTGTGACGCGCTATAGGCACTTATGGCGGGCACCTTGAACTTTCTGCATTCGCGCACTTTGCGCGAAGGAATGTCAAGGTTATCCAGCCTGGATTGGTATACGTCATTGAGTGGAAGGCGGGTGCCGAGAGCGAGGACCAGTCATCATCTCAAGATAACGAGCGAGATGCGCGGAGGAAAAAGAGGCAGCAGCAGCGCGACGAGATGAACGATTCGCAGGAGTCGGAGGGAACGATATACGTGGCGTCAGTCATCATTTCCCCCGGTATGCCTATTGGCTACGCGCTAACCTGCCTTTCCAGATATCATGACTGGGAACATTTTTCTTCAATACGAAACTTGAGAGGGCCGCACGCTGGTCTTCCCGAGGTTTGCGAGCTACCCGCCGACGCAGTACCGCCTGCCGCTTCGCCCGCCAAGAAGAAAGCAGTCTCCCGGAGCAAGGCCAAATCTGATCTCAAGAGTTTTCCCAAGAATAGTCAAATCGACAATGTTAAATCGAATCGTGAAAATACACCACCAACACCTGCACATGTCCCACTCCCCATGTCCCGTTCACCCTCACCCCTTTCTTCCACTGGTTCCTTGAACATCGAGGTGGACTCACTACTTCCCGTCCCCGGTCAGCCGACCGGTCCCCATCAATCTTTTACATCGAGTATCAGAACTCATCGGTCACCTAAGCGTTCTTTCGACGAATCATCTGGATCGTCGACATCTGACGCGATTTCTAAGCGAACGCGAACACGAACCTCACGACGCTCGCCCTCTCGCACACCCTTGAGTCAAGTCAAGGCAGATGATGACATGGATGACTCGACCCCTGACCTCTCCACCCCCGGCTCCTCCGCAGAATCCAGCCGTTCATCATCTGCCGCTTCATCTCCGCTTCCTAGTACCCCTCCCGCATGCAATACGCCGCCTCCCGAAACTCATAAACCCCTCACTCGACGCCAGCGCAAGTCTCTCGGTCTTCCAAAGTCACGTACTGCGTATATGAGCGCAGGAAAGATTGTCATTCCTGGCGGGAAATTCAAGAAAGCTTCCAAAGCGGCTGATGATGAGGAGTGGCAGACGAATGGCACCGGGCGGCTTGACGTGCGCGGATTTCGCGAGCTCAAGATCTAGCCTTCATGCATCATCAAAGTCTTCGCCACGAATCTGCACGCATATTTTTACGCCCCTTCATCTAGAACATTGGTCATATCCACGCAGTGATACCCAACACATCATAATTTGCATTCCATCACATCACTCTCCCATTCACGAATATGTTTACGACAGTCCTGGTGACCTGGTGCGGTGTTATTTCTATGTTAGTGTGCCACGTACGAGCACTTGGAGACTTCATAGAAGTTCGGACTCCATCTGCACGACTGTATTTTAGCGAGTTGCATACGTAAGCTGAATGTTATTATTACGCTTACAGTCATTTGCGTATTGGTGTACTGTAGAGAAAGATATCACAGAACCCGCGCGAGAAGCATTTTGGCAACTGTATTAAAACGAAATCTAAGCGCATGGCATGCTCGGCAACAGATCTGCCATCCGCTACATCAGCTATTTAAATGTGTCTAGTGCGTGGGCTCGAACGAAAGCGAGGACAGCACTCCTTGACTGGTAATGTAATGTGACTGGCGCTTAGACATTGTCGACTGAAAAAAACATCCTCAGATGTAGTCGATGAGTCGGGCGATGAGCGCTGAGCAGTCATCAGCTGCATAACTTATCAGGGCGTTCCTGGCAGACGTCGGGAGCAATGAAGGGCGATGTTTGCAGCAGTGTACACGTATTGGATACAGATAAGATGCGTCTAAATAGATGCCTGAAGATTAGGAGCGTGAGTGAACCAATATGTGGTGTGAGTGAAGATATGAATACACCAATGTTCAAACCACACGTGTTATACTATGCATCAACTCATCAGAAGATGACCCTCGTGGTCCTCGATGCGGAATGTAATACGAGTGCTATCAGCGAGTTCACCCTGCAACAGATCCCGAGAGTTCTCCCGTAAATCTTCCACAGCGTCCGCGTGCAGCAATCGGACAGTCCTGAGCTTCGAACCTGATATGGTACGAAGAGCGGCAAATAGTTGCATAAAATGGAATGTGGGTGCCTTGCGTAGCTTGGAATATAATCCCAGACATGAAACGGAAGGAGGGAGGGTGAGATTTGGGTTGATCTCCGTCCATGAACGGATGTAAATGACGAGGTCGTTCAAAGACAAACAGCATTCACTGAGTAGATCCAGCTCTTTTTGAAGACGGTCGGCTTGAAGGGAATAGTCGAGGTGCACGGCAGTAACATTCGCGCAGCTCAGCCTCACAAAATGTTTCCAAGTATCGTCAAGGAATGGAGGAGGGATGCAGTCGTAAGTAAGTTTTCTGAGAGCGGGGAAGTGATTGGCGTCTCTATCGTCTGGCAGATAATCCCGCAAAAAGACCGACATGAGTGACAAGGACTGCAGCTTGGTCATAACGGGCACGTCGAGTCTAGCAGAAGGAGACTTGTCCCTTGTGCTGGGCGAGCAAATTGGGCAGTGGAGCACACTCAAATTTGGTGCTGCAATTATCAACTTCATCAGATCCTCTCTGAAAAGTAATCAGCAAGTGCGGTATGCGCGATAAGGCTGAGCTAATACCTGGAGGGGCGCAAAATGGACTCAGAACAATCAAATACGCGTAATGATGGACCGCAAGATTCAGCTAGCGCCATCACGACTGATTCGGGTAGCTGCCGAAGCCAGGAATCATTATAGGGAAGCATCGGCATAGATAGATTGACGATAGACAAGTTTGGGAACCGTCGAATTATGTTGGCGAGGAGGGCGTAATCAGATGCCTCACAATGGTCATCTTGTATCAAGACATCAAGTCGTCTCGTCCACCACCCTACGTGAACGGATCGGGCTGGTCCAGAGGATCTCCCACCGAGGGAGACAAACAAAGAAGACAGGGTAGCTGGGCGAGTGACCAGAACACTCTGATAGAGAAAATTGGTGGCAAGAGCGTTCCATGTCTTACAGACAAGGATAATATTCCTCTTTGTGATAAGAGACTCTTTCAACAGTTTGAGCTCGTGGTCTTTGACGAGGGGACGCGGAAGATCATATGGGTTTGAGCCATCATAACTCAGCAGACCAGGGATATCTGTGGCGAGGCTAAATATTGTAATCCAAAGTTCAGGAGGAAAAGGGGGCAGATTGCACACAGTGGAATCGTGGGAGATTGCCAAAGTCATGGTCCAGACTCCAGTGAAGTTGTGTGCTGTAGATTTTGTTTAATCACGTAAGACCGACTTGGATGCAAGATGGGCGTACCAGTAAGAAGAACCACAGTCCACTAAGGGAGGTGTTGGCGAGGAAGATAAAATGATTGTTCAAGGGTTTATATAGGTGTCCCTTCCCTGAGACTCGGAGTTTAAGATATGCCCCTTGGGAAATCGGCGACACAAGTCACCTCGCTTACAGCCTTCTGTAATTATCGGCTATTACAAATCCATAATATCAATATACCTGATCATGATTCTATACGCGAGGTACTGGTGGAGCGGTATACATTTTCAAACAACCTTCGCCGCAGCTCAACACGCCCGCGACACATCACGTGACATTGTTAGCGCGCTGGTGTCTTGAAAAGGCATATTATTTACACACCTTATATGCTCGGGCCGAGGCAACCTGCCTTCTGTTCAAGCATACAAATGACAGTATCATCACATAGAAATGTTCTCAAGTTGCTAACACTGGGACTCATATTCCATGTCGTATTCATTGCTTCTGTTTTTGACTGCTACTTCACTAGCCCAGTCGTCCACGGCATGCTTCCTCGCAGGGCTGGCTCGGGGGAAGCAAAACGGGTCGTTCTCATTGTGGGCAAGTATAACTTCACCTTCTGTAACACCAACTACTCAACCAACAGTTCCTATTAGGAGACGGTCTACGCGCAGACCTTCTATTTGGTGTGAACGCGTTCTCTTTCATTCCTTCCTCGCCAAAGATTGTAGCGCCTCATTTGCGTGATATTATTCAAACACGAGGGGCGTTTGGATTGTCGCACACTCGAGTACCAACGGAAAGTCGACCTGGGCATGTCGCAATCATCGGTATGCCACTGCCCGATACGTCAGTAATATTGGGCTGACTTAAGAAATTCAAGGGGGAATGTATGAGGATGTCTCTGCTGTGACCAAGGTAAAGAGCCAATTTCTTGTTTCTTCTTGTCATTATATACTGATGAGAATCGTGAGATAGGGTTGGAAAACGAATCCAGTCAGTATTGTAGCAACAGACGCCGCGAACGATATCTCATCCTTCTCCAGGTTCACTTTGACTCCATCTTCAATCAATCTAGTCACACCTTCTCCTTCGGTTCCCCAGACATATTACCAATGTTTGCCCAAGGTGCAACTCCCGGAAAAGTTGACACTTGGAGCTACGATGAGGAGGCCGAAGACTTTACGAAAGGTACGAATGTCCAGAACTACTGCAGTCATGCTATTAAATCAAATCAACTGGATAGATGCCACCGCTCTAGATACCTGGGTTTTGGACCAACTTCAGACGTTATTTCAGAACGCATCATCGAACGACTTGCTTGATTCAGAATTACGCGCCGACAAAGTGGTATTCTTCCTGCACCTCCTTGGTCTGGATACCACTGGTCACTCGTATAGGCCACACTCCGAGGTGAGCATCTCCATAAGTGCGCTTTTATTGATTTACTCCGTTACAGGAATACATGAACAATATCCAAGTCGTTGATCACATCGTCCAACAAACAGAAGAACTTTTCTCCAACTTCTACCACGATGAAGAGACAAGCTTCGTATTTACAGCTGACCACGGCATGTCTAAGATCGGCAACCATGGCGATGGCGGTGAGGTCCGCGCTGTATCAGTTTTAACAACGAGGCACTGAAGGAGTTCGTAGACCCGGACAACACGCGTACCCCACTAATTGCATGGGGGCGAGGCATCAGGGGCCCAATTCCTGACACCATTCCTTCTTCGCACGATGAGTACTCTCGGCTCTGGCAACTTGACGACTTTTTGCGACGAGACGTGGAACAAGCCGATCTTGCACCCCTGATGGCTGCGCTGCTTGGTATTAACTACCCGGTAAATTCAGTGGGAATTCTCCCTGATGCAGACCCTACGCGACCTGGCTACTTGCTACCGCGAGAAGGAGAGTCAGCCTTGGCCCAGCTTGCATTGGCAAATGCAGAAAGTATTTTAGAACACTACCGAGTAAAACACGGTGCGTCACAAATGCGCTATCTGGCTTCTCTGTCCATAACTAGCTGGCTGGTAGAATCGAAGGCCGTACAAACCATTCTATACAAAGCTTTCGAACCTTTAGAAGAAGTCACTCAAGACGGGAAGCCTTCAAGAGTATCTTGGTTGTCCAAAATAGAACGTTTAATCAGTGATGGAAAATGGTTCGAGGCCCGTCGAGAGACAGCTGAACTCATCAAGGTCACTTTACAAGGTCTTCGATATCTCGAAACGTAAGCTGCTTGACTACCACTAGGAACAATTACTGAGGGAATGCAGCTATAATCGAGTACTTATACGGATCATCGTCATAATAGCATATCTGGGATGGTCTGCTTACGCATCGTTGTCAATTTTTCCCCCGCCAGCTTCCTTGGTTTCGGACAGGCGGCGTACCGTGGTCGGACTTGCCACCGCGACCATATTAGCAATATTTTGGGCACTGTTTGCGGCAGAGAGAGCTCCATGGACGTTTTATGTCTATGTAACTTTCCCCTGCTACTTCTGGCAGCAATTCGCACTGCGTGGAGTTCCAATCGTTGCGCAACAATTCAAGTCGAGCGACAAACGCGGACCTTTGATAGCTAGAGTGTTGCTTCACTTGGTCATTGTGGTGGTTGTACTCCAGTGTATGGTCGTGCGTCGACCCTTGTTCATTTTATAAAGCTCGTTTGACTTACAAATGATTCAGGCTGCCTACACTCACCGGTCGCTGTGGAGCATTGGTTTTGTGGTTATGGGCATTTTATGGCCATATGTGTCATGGCCAAGTCACGTTCGGTCGCAACACCCGAGACTCTTACTTTCTTGGATGAGTAGCTGTCTTGTAACTGGTATATTCCCCCTACTCAGCGTTAACAAGAGAGAGGATTTGTACATGATGTGAGCGCAGTCTGACAGATTTGTGCATATTGCTCATGCTCACCTATGTGTTAGCATGTGCGGAGGGGCAATGATTCTTGCAGTTGCCGCAGGTTGTACGCGTTTGGCGTCGAACGGTGCTCCGAAAGCCGCAAAACTATCTGAGATCACCCAGGTAGGTAGTTGTACATGGCGCTATGTAGTTAACTTATTCGTATCCAAGGTGTTGTTTATCTTGCTCGCCATGACAATTACTGCAAGCTCAGTGAAGAGTTTACAAGCAAAGCAGGGATTGTCCATCATTAACCAAACTTCAGCATGGCTCATACTCGGTACCCTTGCTAATCAACTGAGCACCAGTTATTCATCTAACTTTTATACTTCTCAGCTGTATCGTCGGTATTCCCATTCATCTCTAAAGCACAGCACAGCACTCCAACCTCAAGAATCATATCGCTTTTCCTGGGCTTCGGCGTCTGTTTCGTCATTCTTTCGATCAGTGTTGAAGGCCTATTCTATGCCGCTTTCACATGCAATTTACTCTTGTGGATAGAAGTCGAATCGATCGTCCAGTCGAATCGAGCTGGGGCCGCTTCGCAGAATCAAGGATACGAGTTTCACACTGACCATATCAGAATAGCACTCTTTTTCTTGTTTTTCGTTCAGGTGGCTTTCTTTGGAACCGGCAAGTGAGTGACCGACAGGACTGACCTTCGTGGTGCTGATGTTGATGATCGACTATGTCCAGCGTTGCTTCAATTTCGTGAGTTTCCCCGACGAACTGATCCAGCTCTGCTGCTCACCTCTCGTAGATCGTTCTACTTGGAACCTGTGTACCGTCTGGTACCGATTTTCAACCCATTCTTGATGGCAGCGTTATTGGTAGGTTCTTCAAACATTGCTTCTCATACCAGAAGCTTGAAGGGATTGCCACAGATATTCAAAATTGTCGCACCATATGTGATCTTGTCAGCTGTTTTTGCCACTTTGAATGCAAGACTCCACCTACCACCCTTCTCGCTATTCCTCGTTGCTCTGACGCTCACTGATGGTGGGTTGTTCCTTTTGATCTGCACTGATCACTAATATCTAGATCAGGAATGACAATGACGTTTTTCCTGAACGTCACGGATACCGGTGAGTAGGCTAGCTAGTGGTCAGATCGTATCGAATTGACACACGACACAGGATCATGGTTGGAGATTGGGCAATCGATTAGCTTCTTTTGCATAACCTCTCTATTATTGGTTTGGTCAGCTGGCATCTGCACCGCTGGCGAATATCTCATGGTAGACACGTTGGTGTTCCATAGGTCTACGGACAGTCACAAGCTAGAATAAGCAATGTGTTAACGCACTCGGCCCGCTGCTCGTAAAATAGTGATACGCGATTAACTATTTGGGACTACAGAACAGTTTAACATGTATTTCGGGGATTAGGGACGGGAAAATGCTATGACACACCTACGTGCTTTCGGGGATCTGTATGTGAATGCTCCTCAGTGACTGCCCGCGCAGAGAGAGAGCAACCACCGTCTGGTATGTAGGATTTATTTTGTAGCGAGAAAGACAAGCGACGAGACGGTTCGCCTTGTAGGTTCATGACCAGAGATAAACGAGGAAAGAAGGTAGACAATCGTACCTTATAATGGAGGTGAACAGTCCACAAGCGATTTGGTAGAAACAGGGAGGCTATTGGTTCATTGCAACACTTGATTGATAATACACTTTCACTCTCAGGATCCACGATGGAAGGTGGTTACAATAGTAGTAAATATATCAGGCATTATGAATCGCACTTAAGTATTGTCCTTGAGCCTAATACGAAGGCATTGAGGCTGGAAGACGGGTGTACCGCGGCAGGTAGACTTGTGACTGCTCATGATGTTTGCCACTTCCACCGCCTTTGTGCGCGCATCGAGCAACCCTATAACATGACGTGGTCGTGCCCAATTGTCGGGCAGGCATTCTTCCCCGTACCACTGTAAAAGTACGCTTGACGGGATGCGACCAGTGTCTTGTTTAAGAAGCAACCAACACAAGGCTGCCTCAGCAGCCCCGATCTTGGAATGTATGAGGTCGAGTGGATGAGCCAGCTGGGCTTCGCGAGATATGCGCACTTGGGCGAGGTCATACAGACTCATGCCTCTTTGAGGATCTGCATGGCTTAAGAATGACTTGAGAAGTTTTGGGTCGACCTCGGTAGGTGCACGCTGCTGACCCGATGCATCTGCATGAACGAGGGATGCGTCGTGTTCTATTTTGTTGTGTATCGCCAGTGCGTCAAGGTCCAAACGAAAGGCGTGACCACAAAGCAGAATTCCTGCCAAGGCGAGTAAGGCTGCCAATATAAAGGACAGGTTATACACTTCTTGGACCGCGCGTATCAGATGCCAGAGTCCAATGTTCTGTCCATTGCGGGGCCTGATAATGGTAAGATTTAAGTTTGGAGCTGTTCGAAGAGACGGAAAAAACATACAAGTAGCCATGATTTGCTAGTGCATTGAGTGCTGGACAAGGAGAACGTCGATCGCCCGGAGTAGCGGGGATGAAAGGATGTGAAGTCTGATTTGAAGTTGACATTTTGGTACTCGGATTGATCCGGTGGCGTAGCCCCTGTGGCGTTAGCCTTTTTATACCATGATCTCCTATTTAAAATGCGGGTCTCATGAGTGCGTCATGCAAGCGAGTCTGAGACATCCGCGCAACACCAAACACCGCGGACATTCATTGTATTTGGTTTTATTTATCAAGACCTTTGAACCAAATACAAGTCCTAGTCGCCCAAGCCTCCTCCTCCTCGTTGCCCTGACCTCGAAGTATGCTTGTATGCATGGTTAGAGCAGTGGGGTTCAATTCAAGCCTTGTCCAGAGCGTATGAATATTGTGATATTCAGAATCTCATGACAAGGCTTGAATTGCCATATGCAGATCAACAGCCTTTGTATGTCAGTGTAAAGGTGGAGCGAAAGAAAAGATTGAACGCATCGAAGAGAGGATGTGGTCGATCTTTGGGGGTACGAAGTTAGAGTGGAGACTTTTGGACGTGTAGCAAAGTCAGACGTTTACATATGGTGAAATCGAAATTCTGAAGAAGAAATAAAACAAATCTTCGTGTGCTCGAATAAAGAGTTGAAGGATTTGGTCGGTGGTCTAAAGCGTAAAGTGTCGCACAGAAGGGGAGTGCGAAGAGGAAGAGAGCAAAATTAAAATGCGAATCTTCGAAGCGGAAGAGATATTTGAATGTACGCGCACGGACCTGTCCCGTTCTCGTCGAGAAGCACGAGAATGAGGATCTCCATATCATAGGGCGCGTACAAAGGCCCTTTTCACGTCCGTCAACGTTCACAGGCTCACGATCCGTCCAGCAACCATCATGAGGTCTAGATGTTGTCACTCATCCTTCCAGACTTTTGTTAGCACCGCTCGTTGTTATCTTCTTATCCGACGGTCTGCCAAATTTAATTGGCCTGGGCACATGTATACGACCGCACCTGAGCTGCGCCCTCCCCGTTGCCGGGATGGCCAATATGGGCTATTTGGCCCGTTGATCATCAACTACCTCAGAATCAGAATCATCCGTTTTCACATCAAGATTTGTTCCGGTCGGTGCTACAGCTTCATAGAGAAGATGTGATCCGGTGGGGTTTGATTTATTAGCTACGTTCCTGTTTCAGCCTTCCCGCGTCTAAGCGCTAATGCCAGATTCTATAGGTAAGGTGGACCAAGGGCTTGAAACAGAGTCAATGATAGCAAAGAAAGAGGATGAGTAGAGACTCACCCTGCCGGAATACTCCAAGTGTAAACTCCACCACTAGAAGTAAAACACCACCTCCAGGCGCTAACCGGAGGACCTTTGGCAAGAAGCCTTTGTAAAGGGCTGCAGGACCCTCCTCACGCATAATGGTCATTAGTCTGTTACTTTGTTTAGTATCTCCCTCAATAGCGTAGGAAGAGACGTACGCAGGATATGTCCAATTATACTTTGGGGCAACTCCGGGGACTTTAGCAGCACCTTGGATGCGAGATTTCACGACCTAAATTTACATGTAGCGGTGTCATTGACCAAACTGGGGTACTACAATGAAGAGCATACATCAAAGCTGACAGGCACATCAGTCACATTCACTAAATTTGCCGAATTGCAACTCACGGGGTATTCACGGCAGTTCCGACGAAGCCACCTACACTGCCAGAAACGAAATTATTGAACAGCTGCCCTTGCTGCGTCTAAACTAGGCGATGAGAAAAATACTGCGAGATATTACTGAAGACTTACCTCAGCTGGTGGCAGCATACTACGGACTTGATGAATACATCCAAAATATCCACCATTCCACCAGAAGTGCCTAGTCTCTTGGGTCAATAATCAGGGACGCTAGATTGTGAATCCATTCACCTCCAGAACGTTGCCTCCATGCCGGCATAGAGACCAAGAGGACCTTCCTTCTTGATGACCTGCTTGACTACATCAATGGGACCAGCGAATGTACTACTTTTATCTTGCAGCCTATTGCCATGGGTTAGAAGTAAAAATAGGACGCATAATAGGGATGATCGCACTTAATCTTGACAAGCTCAAATGGGACAACAACAAAACTCTCTGTTGCACCAGCACTGCACCCTGTTAAAATAGAGAGTTGCTGTGTCATCTTAGACTCTCCAGATAAGCCCATGTAAGTCTTCCCCCAGAAGTCGTTGGAAGCACTGCAAGGCAATGAGACAGTACATCGGAATACCTGCGAGAACCTAACTCACAACTTAACCGCGCGCTTTGGCGCCTCGAGAAGAAGAGGCGGGACCAAACCTGTAAACAAAGTTCAAGGCTCCGTAACGAGAACTGTAAGAGTATTCTTGACCTCGGTAAAGTCGGCCGAAACTGACGAGGATATCAGCAGCGTGGTCGCGTGAGCATCGCGATGTCACGACTTTACCCTTCTTCCCGCACTATCGACGATAGAGTGCCAACCATTCCATGCTTGGCCTTTCCGGTCTCAAGCTGCATACGAGTTTTCACCTGAGTCACGGTCCGTCATCGGCCCAAGCGTCATATCATGATGCACAGGTATACTTACGACATCTAAATTATGAGTGAGCGGGCGTCTTATGAGATGAATACGACTCACCTAGAGGGTAAAATGTCAAAATCTCGGAGACACCAGCAATGGCACCGGCGGCGAAATTCGCAACGAAAGGGAGTGCTATAGTTTATTCTGTCAGTAAGGTCTCAAGTACGGCGCCTAGTATGGTACAAGTTGCCTAACTCACGTTTCCGCTGATCCGTAGCCATTATACTTAGTTTTGGTCGATAAGGATGAAGTCAAGAAGGAAAAGGGATCCGTTCAAGAGTTCGGCACAGAATCGGACGAGAATCGGACGTAAAACGCGACAGAATACGGCACGCCCGAACCGTTCAAAATTCAGGAATCAGAATTGCCTCTCTGCTCGTGACCATTGACATGTGACAGCGTGACATTCTGTGACCAAACCTTGCCTTACTGATGGACTTCATCAACTTACGAGCACGCGCGTTACTCATGCGAGGATGGTATACATCGCCTCCTGGCAAGAGTTTCAGGAAGCAGCTGAAAACCTTTACACAAAATCTCCCAACAAAGTTTTTCTTTTCAACATCTATCGCTGTCTGACGCTGATGATGTCCCCACAGGCTCGATATTGTGTGAAATGGAGATCATCAGAGGGCAAGCTCGTCCTGAAGATTACAGATGATACGACAGTGTGTCGTGGTCTCATTTCATTATGAATCTACATCTTACTTATCATATCTCACATCTCTAGTGCATAAAGTTCAAAACTTACTCCTCAATCTTCCTCAATCGATTCGAGGCTCTGAACCTATCACTAATGCAGAAAATGCAAAATAAACGCCCTACACCAATCGTACATGCTCTAGGTGTGCCTGATACCACTAGGGACGCAGACCAGACGCGCTCGTCGTCTCCGTTCGTTGCACAACCTGCGGGTCCTGCAGCTGGGGGTGTTAAGAAGAAAAAGCCAAAGAAGAAGAAGTAGGAGCAACATTGCTATGCGGCTTCTGGTAAGTCCGCCGAAATGACCCAACTATCACATCTTTGTCTGATGACGTCTCTTCGCTTAGTGGTTTTATGGGAGCATAATCTCCCGAGGTGGAGCGAACATGCGCAGTTATTACCAGAGCGAGACCATCGTTTATAGATCTGATTTGTCAATAAGCCGTTGTTCGTTTGAATGGCGCAAGGCCCCAATGCCCGATCGATCATGAAATGTTCATCACCGCTACCTTGTTCTGATGCAAGAGGCAAAATAGGTAAGCCATCCGTATGGGAATGATGGAAATAGACATACAAAGTCTAGCTTCGGCGTCGCACAGGCTTGCTTAGCACTAAGCTATAGAACTTACCAATAAAACGACGGTGCCTTGGAGCACCCAGTGCTGAGCGCTGATCCACCAGATTGTTAATAGTGTTTAATGAGACTGATCAGCACACGCAATCGTACGCGCCCACGATAATGGCGCTCGACAATGGATGTACAAGATGATAGCCTAAATGTCAACGACAACGGGTAATGTAGAGCCGGGGCACAGGCGTTCATCATAAACCCCAATGTCCACTGGAGGCGGAAGACTGGCAACCGGAAGCTTGAAATAGTCAACATGTGGATGAGATGTAAATTAGCCTCTGCAGATCATCCGATCTTAAAGGCGGTACAGAGGGAACTATTCCGAGGGCGATCTGTGAAAACCCCGGAGTGGGTCTCCGAGGACACCATGCCAATATCACAATCTATATGTGGAGCACGGTGCAACACCAAATATTTTTATGGCCTAAAGAGGGGTTACCGTACTCGACTGATGTGTCACAGATCCATGAACTAGTGAATACGCCGTTAAGACTTGGAGCGAGTTCTATTCACAGGGTCCGGCTTGAAAGTAATTATCCGATACGGATCCGACTCTTTGTCGTTAGTAGAAAGAGTACTAGTGAAATGACTCAAGATACGCACCAATACGAAAACAAATCGCGTATTCAAAGGAAACATGGAGCTTGGTTGAGACCCTAGTGACGACTTGCGGAGGTTGGCATTAACCGACTCCCTGAGATGACAGCCTGACAGGACGTACAGAACAAGGCATCTCGTGACATAGGATTCCGCAGATTGTTCATCAAAAATGGAGACTGGTTGATAGTCGATGATAACGGCGAAAAGCGAAAAACAAAGTGCATGACAGCATATATGAGGGCACTTGATGAGCCACAATTTTGGCAAGTAATTTGGTACATACCGATTGCAGCGGAAACAGATTACTCCGAGGATCCCATCATATATGGCCAGCGGAGTTCTAGCTGTCAATGATGCAATTTTGGATGGTACAACGGTGGTAAAAGTCTGTAAAGAGTGAGAACGGAATCGAACCACAAGTGAGATGTGAACGTTCATCCATGCAAATCGGTCTTTCTGTGAAGGCGACCTATTTGGCAGCAGTAACTGGTGCGATGCCGGGTAGGGACAAGCTGGTGCGCAGTAGCAAGGTAGCCTGCGAAAGTGAGCAAAAAAAGATTGTGTAGAACACAGGAATGACAGGACTCAGATCTGATACCATCGCAAGGTGACAATATCTAGCTTCTCCTAGAACCGGTTCTGGATGCCAGTGGGCTGAAACTAATCAACTGGGAATGAAGGAGGGGAAGTGGGCAGCTTTTCAAGCAGTCCTCAGAGAAGAGGCTTCGGAACCAAGGTCTCATGTGTACATGTCACTTGAACATGAAGTTACTGTCCCCAACAACACTCCCTTATATTTGATGGGGCGTCGTTTGCAGAATAAGTCTAAGCATGGTGCAGGATGTTAGAAATGATACAAAGATCGCACAAAGAAAGACAATTGAGTTGCAATTGAGTCGCAGTTTGTTATATGTTTTTGAAGGGCCGACACGGCTGTATTCAAGTTGGTCCAGCTTGGGCAATTGGCACAGCTGGTCTCCATAAATACGTGTACATAAATAATGTCCGGTCACTGTCATCGGCATCGTCAACACCCTTCAGCTTCCGATTCCAGGTACTAAGCACTCGACGCTGCATATTCTACGCGCATTGCGGGACGCCTCAAGTTATTGGGAACACCTCACATACCCAAGTTCGGTAACTAGTCGAATGTATTGCATTGAGAGGACATCGAGCTCATTCATAAAGAGCACTGATTGCTTCTACCTTTAGTGCGAGAGGTAAGCCGTGTGGTTATATTCCTATTCTGATATGCCTTCATCTCCATACCCGCCAACAGTCATTCTTCCGCTACTTGGTCTTCTGATACTCAAATCGCATTGCTCATGGCGCTCCGGCGGTATACAACATCAATCGATGGTACCATCCCAGTTCCTGCACTCCTCTATGACGATGAAGAACATCTGGCATCCCAGGATGGCGTAGGTATATATGATGGGTGCGTGTACTTTCTGGCTTTGACCTGGTGCATTGGTTTCCGTGTTCATGTCACCAATTAACAGTCTGCAGAAAGCTCCCGACTATCAGACAGGTTCTGTTCACGTCTCTACGCATCGCCTATTTTTCGTTCATTCGCAGAACCCTACATCATATTCTTTTACTATGGATCTACTTCATGTGACACGGACGAATTATTATGCTGGTTTGTTCAAGTCTTCGCCGAAGGTCTCACTCTTCCTCGACGCCAGCACTGCCTTACCTTTGACTACAACGTCCGGGCAGCGAACAGAAATATTCGAGAGCTGGGAATGCGAAGTTTGCAGCCATCGCAATCCTCCAGGTTTGAGTCCAGCCGCAGCTCGAATATGTGCTCTATGTGGCGTTCCGCGCAGCGCATCTGCGGTGTCAACAGCGTCGGAGACATCATCTCAAATTCAATCCTTGTTCTCCTCTATTCCCGAGTCTTCATACACCTCTATATCTTCTTCAAGTTCCCCAGGACCTCCATCTCCTCCATCAACGAATGATGATTCTGATGGAATTGCATGTCCTGCATGTACCTTCCTTAATCACCCGTCTTTGCGTGTCTGCGAAATATGCACAACGCTGCTTCCCAATATTGAACATGCCGGGAATATGAGGGCGAAATCCGCCCCCTCCACTCGACCAGTATCACCCATAAGTGACAGCATCGATCCCGCGAATCTCCTCATCAAATTAAGTTTCCGCAAAGGCGGTGACAAACCATTTTACAACGTACTCAGGCGTGCACTTAGATCTCGGGCTTGGGAGGCAAGCATGGTGCCATGATTTCAATAGAAATATAACTAATTGCATATCCTGGCAATTAGGGCAAACGAATTGGTCATAATGCGAGAAGCGGGCCTTCTGGCCTTGCCATTACAAACCCTAATTACGGACCGACACCCGTTGCCATGCGTCCTTCTGGAATAGGTGGGGAATTTGATTTTTGCTGGTACCGCCGGCGCTCACATTGATGGTCGGTTCTTAAGATGGAATTATGCGTAACGTAGAAGCTTCGGCTTATGTTACACAAACGGATCTAAACGATGCCCTGAAAGACTTAGAGGGGTTAATGATGAAAGCAAAGGATCTCGTTCATCTCGCGGGAGAGCTGAATGAGAAACTTACTGCATCCTCTACAATAACTACGACATCAACACTTGCTTCTCCATTTCCAACGACCTCATCCCCATCAACTCCAGGCACCCAATTGTCAAGTCCATTTTCGGCGACCACGCTTGTTCCCTCTACGGAGCCCGAAGAAGCCAAATTTATACGTTCTTCACTTGCGCAGTTAGGTTTACAGATGTCTAATGCTCCCGTCACGCTGGACATGATCAGGGACGAAAGGAGATGGGTAGAAGAGTTGGCGCGGGAACTGGCAGGGATGTTGCAAGGATTTCCGGATGATATTCCCGGTCAGAAATCGGTCGGAATTATGAAAGATCGAGGGATTGTTGGGTTAGATGAGGTCTGGGGCGGATGGAATCGTGCGAGAGGCGTAGGTAAGGGAACCCTTTTGACACTGCCCAAGTGAGTTACTGAACACACATTTTGCGCAGCATTAATTCCGCCATCGACTTTTCTGCAAGTACTCCCTCACCTCCCGGCATACACGTCACCGCCTATCCGCAGCAGAGTGTTTAATTCAGGCTTATCCGTGCTCCATATTCCGCCTTACACCCACGCTTCGTTCACGGCTCGCATAGTGGGTTATCTCGCCATGTCTGGTGTAATGACAACAAGTCAGATTGCCCGTGAAGAGAACATCACGATCGGCCTTGCAGATGAAATGATCGCTGCTATTGAAGCTGATGGTGTGATTTGCCGGGATGATGAAAGATCGGCAATCAAGGGGGGCGGAAGTGGGACTACATCAGAAGTCAGGTGGTCGAGGAACCTCTTTCTGGAATATATTTGGGATGGTCAATTGTGAAGATGCTTGCATTAAAGTTTGCAGCTACTGCCGTATAGATCGCAGGCGAGTTGTTGACGAGTGTTGGTTGGTAGATACTGCGGGCCATTATAAGAAACGACTCGGGCAACTCGGGAGAGGTGGAAAAACGGCGTGACCCTACTAGCTCCGTCAGCAAATAATTGTGAATGGAAGCCATAACGTTGCTTTGGTATGCGAGCGAAGAACTCGAGTTCTGGTCCAAACGTTTTTCTGGCTTACGATTAATGAATTTCTCTAGCATGTTTGGCAAAGGCTTTAGAACCAAACAAACGCCCGATCGATCGACCGATTACCTATTTTGGGCGCTTCAATATTGCCTGCAAGCGATATTCACACCTGGCTCGGTAACGAACTGTCATTGCCATGTGCACTACAGCAGGGCGAGACCTATTCTGCTCAGCACCGATTATCCCGCAGCTTATGTATATGTGATGGGTCTGAGGCCCTGAGCTTGCTTCTGAATTGATGCTGTCCCGTAAGTCAAGGACTCAACTATCTCAATGGAATAGATAACCGCCGGCATCGTCGTGAACCGAGAAACAAAATTTACAGCTACTAGACTGTCGGCTCGCCGACTGATTACTTCATCGGTACGTTTTTTATTCCGACAAGATCGGTCTGAATTGATTCTATTACCGATCGGCGACATGTCTTTCCCGCTGCTTTGGTGCTGTCAAAATGACATACTGTTCACTTGCAGAATTAATCGAGCTGGACTGCTGCAGGAATGCTTACCTGAAATGTATCTGTCATAGTCTGTAGTGATATACCAGACCGCTGGTATGTAGGAAAACACGTGTAGGCTTTTTGTGCGCAAACTTACGAGGTGATTACAGGAGGTAGCATCCCTGAATGAATAGCTCCTTTTTGCTCCTCATGTTCGTCGAGCAACGTAAATGTGTGTGCGACTGCTAGAAGCGGTGTCTTCTAACGATTTCCATTCTTCAATCAGCCGGCGGAACGAATATTAACGAAATGCGTACCCACACTGTCGGCGTGGGGGATACTCTTTCCCCAGTGATATCGGCATATGTGTGGTTCTCCATTGCTCAAACGTTCTCCTGCGACGTCGAGATCATTACGACTGTTAGTCCCTTTCAGGTTTGTAGCAACCGACTGAATTTCAGTTATGAACTCACGCTCGATAACAAAAGGGCGCAGTGCCGCAACGATCACCAGTGGCGTAAGTCGGCTGATGCCAATCTTTAGTTCAGCTGGCCGAAGGCGGCCCCCGCGAATTGAGGTAAAGTGTCAGTTCGAAAATAATTCACTTCGGTGTTTACTCTATTCAGCCACTGTGTGGGTCAATGTCCGTTCTCGGGGTCAGGAACAATAATGAGTACTTACTGCGTTGCCTAATGATTGTGATCGACTTTGATCATCGAGTGCATCTTGTTGTACTTAAAGTTTCCCATGCAAAGACGAGATGTGTTTGAGGACTAAGTTCCCGATAAAAGTCCCGTCAAACGCAGCACGGCATCCGGGATGAAGACGATAGCGGAGTCGGACTCTGGACCGAGTGAGAGTTCAGACTGGCACGATGATCATGGTGATCGGACTGCAAGGTCGGAATCAAGCGTTGATAGGTGTTCTTCGATCCGGGACCTACAAGGTGTCCGGATTGCAAGTTGTGATTAATTTGCGGTGCCAAAGGATCAGTGGGTGCATGTGGGTAAGTGTGAGATTCAACAAGGTGGTAGATCGCATCACAGCCGTGATGAGCATCATCATCCCGCGAAGGCTGCAGGGATGGAGAATAGCAGTGAAGGAAATAGGGTTCGACATCGCATCCGTCACAGTATCAGCTTAGCTCGTAGATGCACCACATCAACTGAGCTTATCAAAGTAACACGACAAGTTCGGGGTGTTACGCGATATTGCAATTGGGATAATTTCGGGATCTTAAGATTTCGAGCACAGCCATGCTAACGTTGTACCAAGTAAGAGCAGCTGCAGTCAAAGGAGGTGGTTAAGCTTGAACTTTAGGTATAGTGCTGTGCTGAACCTTGGGCTATGCTAAGATCGGATGAGGCTGTGGAAGATAACTAAAAATGGAAGAGTAAATTAGGTAAGCATGCCTTGCTTGAACCCCGGTAACTTGACCAAGTAAAGATGGCATCAGCATACCGTACACTGTCAACAACACCCTTTCCAATGGTGGATGCGGCCCAAACTATTGCATCCAATGATTCCATGATCATTTCTGGGTCATCCCGGCCCATCTCCATATTTTTATATCAACCATGATATAATATAATTCTTCCGGTGCACACGCAAATGGATCATCCCCTCCCTTTATAACTACATATCATCCTACTCTTCATCTAATCGGTCATCGCATCCATCTTCCCTCCTCTGACTCTTCAAATCCCTTCTATTGATTCAAGTACGTCGTATCATCACTTTGAATTCGAACCTTGGTAGCTCACCATCATACCAGGTTGGCCCTGCGTTGTATCACTACTCTTCTCTACAGCTCACGACAACCTCGCTGAAACAAGTGATCTCATGAACCCTTATCTACCAACGTTTGATTCTTCACTCGACACAGGCGCTGTAGGGCTAACTCCACCATCCAACTCTGGATCTTCTTCCCCTTCTCTACTGAACGACCATCCCAATCCTCATCAAACGCAGGCGCCTGATCGTCGCGTAACCAATTTTATCGCTCGGACATCGGGAGGATCACCGACAATGCATTGCCATCGCTCCTCCCAACGAACACCAACGTCATTCCAATCCCGCCAGCCTCACATAACTGATCGCAGTCAATCTGCTTTTGTCCCTCGCTTTAACCCATCGGCCACTGGGTTAAGTGCATGTAAAAATCTGACAAGGCCTTTGAACGTACAGGAGAAAGAAAATCTCTTTCATCTAGACAATCTCAAGTATTTTCTCGCTACTGCGCCGTCCCGATGGTCGTCGAACGCTTCTGGTTTAACACAAAATGATTCGTTCCCCATGGACTCCTCTGGCCACCCAGCCTCTTCACATCCCTCCATGAACCGCTTCCTTCTTCCTTCTTCGGAATACATCACCTGTGTCTCGTGGAATAATCACTACCACATAACGGGCACAGACATTGTCCGCGCGCTTGTTTTCCGCTTTGAAGCATTTGGAAGACCCGTCAAAAACATGAAAAAATTCGAGGAAGGTATTTTCAGCGATCTGCGCAATCTCAAGCCTGGTGTCGATGCTTGCTTGGAGGAACCCAAAGTTAGTATCGTCCAGGGTTTCTCATGATGCTCCATCTCATGTACAACAGTCACCATTTCTGGATCTTCTTTTCAAATATCAGTGCATACGCACTCAGAAAAAGCAAAAGGTGTTCTACTGGTATGTATCTTCTCCATTATCCTGAAATTTGTGGCTCACTTTCCTCGAAAGGTACTCGGTCCCTCATGATCGCCTTTTCCTAGATGCCCTCGAGCGCGATCTCAAACGCGAGAAGATGGACTTGGAACCAACTACTATCGTCATCGGTGAACCTGCTCTCTCGTTTACATACGAGCCGCAGCGCAGCCTTTATGAACAGTTTAGCAAGACCATGGAGGCCGATGGCGACGTCATCAGTAATTTTGACGTCACCCAAATGAATGGGAAATGTGACACAAGCGGATCAGCACCGACGGTTTCACGTGCGGGGGCGATGCACAACTCTAACTCGGGGGAGTTGCATCTTAGTAACTGTCGCATTGATGGCGGAGGCCCACATCTTCCCTCAGCACTGCATGGTCCCAATATGGCGTACCTACCCCTTTCTATTTTCGAAGGTTCTCCCACCTATAAGCAACGTCGTAAAAAGCCAACCAGCAGGCTGGATGCGATCACGCGCAGTGACTCGGAAGAGACACCCATTCACACATACGAGGTTGGCGTTGGCTATGGACGTAGTGATTCCAGCATGACAGCTGCCGATATGTTCACGTCTCAAGCGAGAGGTGAACAGGATCCTAGCGTGAGACAAGTCAAGGCTGTGCTACAAGCCCATGATAGCACGATTTGGTCAACTACACCGCAACTCGCTCCAGGGCAGACTTCTGCCACCCTTCCAAATGGTCCAGTCTTCGGACAACGGTCATCAATCAAGCAGCCTTCATCGCAATCTCATCTTCACCCCTTTACGGAGGATTCCTCATTATCTTCGTTCTCCTCGGATGTTGACGGCCATCACGCCACCAGCCTGAGCGGGATAACGCTCACTTCGAAGGTGTTTGTTTGCCCCCTCTATTCCTGTGGCCGCTTGTTTAAGCGTATGGAGCACCTAAAGAGGCACGTGCGGACGCACACCATGGAACGCCCATTTGCTTGTAACTTTTGCAAGAAGCGGTTCTCTCGGTCGGACAACCTCAACCAGCATCTTCGCATACACACACGGACAGAAAGGGCTGACTCAGCTTCTACCGATCTAAATGCGTGCGATGCTGATATGGAAAACGAGGAAGGAGATGAAGATGACGTTGCCTTTGCTGCCGCTCTCTCTTTTGCAGAGGGTGGCTTACAGGACATGGGGACGTGTGTGTTGGAACTGCAAGGCCAGGTGCAAGACGTGCAAGGCGACGAAGAGGGTTTAGTTGCGTTGTCCGGCGTCTCCCCTGTTATGGATACCGACGCTACCTCGGACGGTGGGCTTGGTAACAGCTATTTCTTGCAAAGTGGCACCGCGGACCACACCGGGTACGTTGAGCCAGCGGAGACCTGGGCCAGTCCCTTTACGAACTCTCCGTCGTTGAGTTCGACTTGCAACGGGGAACCGACTATGACGTCTTTTTCGGCTCCATCCCATAGACAGGATTTTACCCTGAACAATATGGCTCTCCATGTAGCACCCTCAGAGGTCGGACCTCACAGACGTCACAGGAGCGCCACTCCATCTCTCATACGCTCGCATTCTGTGTCCAGCCGACACTACCACCCTTATGCATCATCCTCACATTCGTGCCCCAGTTCAAGTCACTCCAGCCCAAGCACTCTCTCTCATTCTCCTGATAATTCCGCGGTTTCATTAAACGCTATGCCTCGTGAGGCCTTCAGGTCGTCACAGCCGCGTTCATTCTCAGCACCTTCATTCAGTGCCAATCAAGGCTTGGATAGAGCGCTCGACATCAGCGGCCTTAATTTCGACGGTATCTTCTCGAATTCCATGACGCTATTCTCAGAACCTAGTGCATACGACCTTTTACAGGGATACACACACCCCTCCTACGAATCAACCTTGTTGTCAATCTAGATCGTTCGAGTCGGAATACAGTATACTTCTCTTTTGTCATCATAATTCTTTTCGTTCATCTTGCTAGCTATAAATGTATCGATAATCTATTTATCACCCACGACCTAGTACATACTATACCACCGGTGATTGTTTTGGGGCATCGTGCAGGTCACTTTTGTGTTCTCCCCCATTTACGACACCGAGCCTCACGTGTGCCATTTTCTTGTATTACATATCACATATTACGAATTGTTACTTCACTATCGCTCAAGCTCGGTGACTCATCGATCTTGCGTGCAAGGTTCGATATGCATGGAGCTGCGCGCACTAGTTTTTCTTGTATAATGTATCGGAATTTCGTCATCCATGTCAGCGCAATTGACAATGCCTACGGCTCGGAACTCAATATATGGCATGAAGTGTATATGCCGCAATCTATCGCCAATTGAAATGTGATGCTGGAAGAGGTGGCCGGCGGTACACACACAGCTGACTAATAATGTAAAACCCACATACGCCACCAAACATAATACGGAACTTCTTCATTACGAACGTCGACCAGACAACAAATATTCCGATATGTTTTCTGGATTCAAAAGATCACTGGTGAGCGCCCGGAATCGCTTGAAGCTACCCGACATGAACTGAGCATCAATCAACTACAGCCCCAAATATCCATCTTGTGTGCATCATCTATCATCCGTAAGGAAACCTTATAGGAGCTGAATCTTTTCTCTATACAGTCACCACCCATCATCGCCACCATCAATTCAGGCCCTTGCACTGCTGCGGAACGCCCTCTCCTCTCCTTATCCCCCTGGAAAGCCATCGGCGCCCCCACTTGAGTTTGATCTAGAAGTCGTTGAAACGAAACCTCCGACCGCCGATCAATTGAGGACCATTCTTACGTACATCACCCCGTCGAGGTCTACTGCACCCCCTGCGTTGTCTGCCTTTTTATCTGCGCATCCTGCATCGCCTGGTCCGGGAGAACAGCCTCAAAATATGAAAGGTATCGTGAGTCTTGTGGAACAAAATCCGAATGTGTTCAAATGGCCTGTTGTCGTGGACTGGAATGGTGGCCGTGCTAGTGTAGGGGACGTTGAGGGCGTTAAAGCAATATTGGAGGCCATCAGGCAACAGAGAGATGGAGAAGTGAAACAAGATGAAGTCGATCAGCCTAAAGGCTGGTTCTCATAAACGCTCGGGCAGGCAACTGACATTTTGACGCATACATCCGAGTTGTCGTAAGGACTATACTTCAGATTCTCCAACTGCATGCTGGAAGAAATGTACAGCGTGTAATTTGGTATATATTCTGTCCATATGGTAAAAAGGCAGCAATGCATACATATGTATTATAATTATCCAACGAAAAAGTGATCTGCAAGAGAAATTACTGGTCAAAGTCGACAGTGCGCCGCGATCATCACTCCCTGCATCCTCTGCCAAACTGTGGCGTCCCCTGATCCCCTGTTCCCTGACTCATGTAGTGGGTGCTGCTGGCGGGCTGCGTGTCACTGTGTCTGTCGCTGGACCACTTAACACGGACTGGGTGGATGTGTCTGGTGCTACTCCCACGTTGGTATTTGTCACTGACGCGGATGTCTCATTTGACGAGGGTACACTTTGAGGGGCGTTGTTATTTGAGCTGATTTTCCCGACAGTCCCACCGACGGCGCCACCAACTACAGCACCGATAACGACAATGGCAATAACAAAGATGGTGATTTTGCCATTGCGAGTCTTCCAAAAAGATTTGGTGGGATGCGAGGCATATGTAGCAGCAGCAGCTGCAGGAACATCCTTTTCCTGTACCAAAGAGCTGCTTTCGACGTCTGTATCACTAGGAATTGGTTGTGGAAGTGTGAGCGGTTGTGTCGATAAGGGGCGGGTAGGACGGTCATCGAGTAAATCAACGTTGTAACCTTCCTAGAAATCGGATATGTTTTAGTCACAAAACGGGACGGGCGAGCTAAGAAGTACTGCACACCTGCCTCTGTGCCCTCGTTGCTGTGGGAGCTGCATCAAGTAGGTTCTGGTCATATGGAGACGACATGATGCTTCTCGAAGATATTGGTGATAGCGGGAGGTCGCATAGGCAGGCGCCTGCAGCTCGCTTGCAATTACTTGCTGGACAGCCTCATCAACTGCGTGCCTGTCTGCCTGACAAGCGGAGTTGCCCTAAGTAGCTACATTCCGGATCTTGAGCGTTCAACAAGCAATTCACTCGAGTCTCGATAGACGAACGATGCAAATACGATGAGTCGTGATAATGATGTAGATAATACAATACATTGAGCCTGTGAGGTATCCTTCGCGACTGGCCACAAGCCTCATGGTTAGTATCGGGGTCCCTTTGCCATCGGACTTGCCAAGAAGTGACTAGGGTTCGGGACTCTGTGCTTACGGTAGCACCGGCCTCAATGCAGCAGCATGGTTGGCTTCTCGCGGCTTTGTCCTTACAATGACCTACTAGTTGAACGTTGTTGCACGATAGCTTTGGGTATGTATTTATATAACCGGCCGTAATTGCTCACGCAAAGGATGAGGCAAGACGCGGTCTCATTCGAGTTAGTACATCATTGATATACCTGAACGGCGCACGTCTGACAAGGTTTGCACCCAGACAAAGTGTCACTGGACCGTCATGATGCCGTATATGGCTAATATTGAGGCCTGATGCTATCGTCCAGGCAGTTTACGAAACGATCTGGCTCCCCACTAGTGTGCGATGTAAACTGTCGAACGTTCCATGGTCACCTGTATTTGCGACGTCCATGATAGTGCAATCTTGGACCTACGAATCAATATATATAAGTGTGAGAAGAGCAGGCAGGGTTGTGCTTCAGTACGAACTTGGTAAGTATCGCTCTAACAAGTCAGGAATTTCTGAATGGAAGATAATATACCATTAGAACCACCGGTCTTCTTGACAAAAGCGCACATCTATTATAGATCATGTGAGTGCCGGAGAGATCGACACTGCGAAATGAAGGAAAGCCTCCGGTCTTCGCGCATATAAAGTTTGACGAAAACCCCCAAAGTCATTTAACAATTGGGTGACTCGGCGCAAAGGGGGGACCGCACAACTGTGGGGTAGCAGCACTGGAAATTAATCAGGTGCCCGAGGTTGTCGCTGCAGGCGAAGATTGGTAAACGCAAAGTACTGAATTCGGTTGCAGGGAATGGCAGGTGACATTCAGGAGCGCGACGACAGGGATTCTCTTCCATTCCCAATGACAATTTACCGAGGTTTCCAACATATTAGGACAGAGCTGCGATTCTGCCTGTTCCAGGACCGTGCACCGAGCTGACTTCATAATTGCCCGTAATGCTACCTGTATCGAGCTACCTCATAATCAACGCTTTAAGGACCGGCAGAACAAGAAATCACCTTTCGAAATCGGTGATAATCCAAAAATGTAGCAGGTTCAGGGGCCTTGAGTCATTGGGGTGCTGACCAGCATGTAGAAGTCCCGTTAATTTACTGAAATGCCAGACTGAGTCACCCAGCAGCGATGAGTTGCCCGGTTATTAACAGGCCACGGTAGATGAATCTCCGCAGAAGGTGGAAGTTGACTGTGGGATGCGAATCGTAGTCATCCAGACTCTAGGACGCTACGTGGTTTGTACGTGGCTGTCAACGTCTCAAAATATTTAGAAGTCATTTCTTCTAGCCAGGACTGTCGGTGATAACGCCATCGCTTTGCAAGATAGGGTGCACACTGCTTGGTTCAGACTTGTACTTGATCATATCTTTAAGAAATAAACATACCTGTTGACTTGCAATTGGGATATGTGCGATGGGTCATTGGAGTTGGTTGGTAGTATTTGGTACAGGGTTGCGGAGCCGACTCGGAAATAACGCGGGGGTCCTGATAACACACTCGGCTCGGCCCCGCTAAGCGGTTGTTCGGTTGTAGATCGGCACACACACGTGGTTTCGCGGTTTGAATGGCACAGTTTGCGTTTTAGCGCAGAGATCACCGAGGAGCTACTATACGCGCTGTCCAGTATCACAAGCGTACATCGCTCTCGCGCCACCCAGAAACGCGAATTTTGTGAGTTCTCATTCTTGCATTCATTACAACACTTGAAGTTTCTAATCATTATGCTTCGCTTCTACAACCAATCCAGCTCATTCGGTTCCTTCGTTGAGAATCAAGCGTTTCATCAACCATGCCCTCGTTCTTGAACAAGGTCTTTGGCAGAAGGACAAGCAATGACAGGATCCAAGCAAGTCATTTTCAGGACTCTAGCGACAATAGAACTTTACTGGACGGAAAATACGAGGCTATTTCTCCTCTGGGCTTCACCGCTCCCACTATTAGCACCTTGTCAAAGGCTCAGACGGGCAAAGATCATGCTGGATTCTCTTTGTTTCGGCCTAAATCTCGGTATACTCCCCCTAACTCTTCGTACAAACGCACAGAGAATCTTCCCCAATTGTCGCTCCGCCTTCCCAGTCTGAAAGACGATGCAGAGTCTCTCCAACTTGGCGTTTTCGAAGTTGATCTCGAGTCTCAAAGGATTTTCGATGAATCCGTCATTGGTGCAAAGCTCCTGACTCCTTTGGAAGCTCTTATACTCGTTCGAGCCTGTGCGCAGAGTATCACTGAGCGGGGTAAGTTATTGTCAATTAATCATTATACAACCATATAATCGTCTTAGGCTTGGAAACCCTTGGAATTATGCACCCTCACTGGCACTCCGCATCACCCGATATTCAACGAAAGCTGATTTCGCTCTTCATTCATTCATTGGCTCCCAAAAGCCGCATAACCGTCATGTCTCCAACGCCTGCCGCGGCAACATCCGCCTTTGAAGCTGAACTCGAGTACACCCGCTCTCCTCACGACGTTGCAGCTGTTCTCCGTTGGGGCCTTCGTCATCTTGTGCTTGAAAATAACACTTTCGGCAAGGATGTCTCTGCACCTGAGTGGGCGTGGTACAAGTCCTTTTTCGACGCTGAAAAAGGGGCGTCGTACCCACCCAAGAGTTTCACGGAGTTGCTTCTCCCCAAGCTCCCTCCAGTGCACATCGAATTACTTCTTGCGACCATTGACATCATATCCGCATTAGCTTCGCATGCTGAAGCGAACAGCATATCTGGTAGCAAACTTTCCAAGTTTTTGGGCTTATGGTTGCTCACCGCGACGAGGACCGAGCAAACCGACAACTGGACCACCTTTTATGCCCGATGGGAACGTGCTGGTCGGATTTTGGAACATCTATTCCTTGCACGAATTAGGTATGTATACCACATGAACCTGAGGGTGTGTCTGACCATAACACAGGGAGGAGAGTTTCAAATCTCGACTGCCTACCCGACTTCAGGAACTTGTAAAGCACTATCCATATTCGAGGGGCGTGTCCGGCGTTGAAGAGGACCTTCTTCCTCATCCTCGCTTCTCTACGCGGAGCTGCAGTGTCCTCTTTGTGCGCATTGAGGTCCTTTTGTCAGAGTCTGCGCCACAGCCCAAACCATCGCCCGTTCGCCTGCTCTTAGATGCATTCAAGCTATCTTCCGAAGGTGAAACCTTTGAGCACGTTGAGTTGTGGAACTCGCTCAAGACTGCCGCCAACGAAGTTGCCTCTACATCCTCGGTGACTGGTGCTCAAGATGGCCCACAGTTCGGTCGGGTATTCGTGGATGAGACGATCCACCTCCTCGCGTCTACATCTCGTAACGCCTCTTCTCCAATCATGTCCCCGACAATTGAAGTTGCATCGCCCGTGCCTAGACGCTCTTCGCCCTTCAGTAAGATTCTCGATCGTAGTAAAGACAAACTTGCTTTTGGAAACGGAAACGGGAGCAGCGCAACGTCCCCCGTCTCGTCTGTTTCCTCGCCAATCATCAGCGACTGGGCACAGTTCTCCACTAGCGGTTTCGGTGAAACAAGTGCAGTCACGCCGCTCGCTGCAACACTCCTTGACAAGGATGTTGAGACTACAGAGCCGCTCGCGTCCCCTAAGTCGGCTAAGAAATGGGGGATGTCACGCTCGGGACAGCGCTCTGCTGACTCCCCATACGAGACGAGCGCCAAAGAGCCTGCAGTCCTCAGCACCAAGCTCGCGAGTGTTCACATGACGCAGGTTGACGAGGCCTTCATTGATTTCTGGTCCGACGCCATTGCAGACCCCATCACGGCGAATTGGCCCTCGTTTGTCATCTGTGGGCTGAAGCCGTTGCCCGCGAAAGAAGCTGTCAACTGGCTCATCGTCGAGCAGACGTATGTACGCCAGCAACCCCCGCAGCCCCGTCCGACATCTCCCGAGCGCCGTGGTCGCACGTCGCCCCGCCCTTCGCTCCGTTCGGAAATTTCTGGCACGTTCGCTGCTACGAGGAAGCGATTCAGCTTTTTAGGTGGGATCAGTAAGACGGGTTTGACAAGCAAGAAGAGTGCAATAGGAAAGTCGCCCAAGGTTGGGGAGCTTGGTGAGATCTTACCTGGGGAGGAAGGATCGGAGACGCCGACAGCTGTGACGAATATAAGCAAGGGAGTTGGCGCTGGCACTGCCACAGTTGGTGCAGTCGCCGCAGAGGTTGTTCAATCACCTGTCCCTGAGGAAATTGTCCAGTCACCGGCCGTAGCTGCACTCGCAGAGCAGCCTCAGCAAGAGCTACATGAACAAGCCCTGGTCCAAGAAGCCATCGTCGCGCTCGCAGCTATACCCGATGAATCTGTTCCAGAGTCCGAGGGTACGCTTGTCGAGGAATCTGTGTCGCAGTCTGAGCCTACACATGATGGCGAGACCCCCGTTTTTGGAACTCCTGAAAACGCTTCGCTTGCTGAAACTGCTCAGGCCGACCTTCCAGAAGAACCCCCTGTTCAACCCACTCAGGCAGTTGAGCCCGCACCACCCGCTGCTGAGTCAAAGCCCGTTGAACACACCAATGGTGCAGCATCCATGGAACCGCCATCATCTGCCGACGTGTAGGACGATGTGGACGTCTCGGTGGAGCATCTATTAAATTGAGGACATTGTTGAAGGATCCATCGCGATTACCTTGTTGATTTCTTTTTGGTTTATTTCATGTTTGATCATTGGTTGCGAAACCCTCCTACTGTCCTTTACCATTTACTGGACCCGAACTAATCTACATTCACTGTCACATGCAGGATTCCAGATACCGCGTTGCCTCACTTTATTCATACAACTATCATTTGGACCGTCATTCGCCCGGACACGGCCCCACCATTTTTCCTTTATATCCCATATGCCCTTTCCTCGGATACCTACTTGACCTTGGTGCTTTCAATGTTCCAGTACTCCTGTGCGTAATCTTGGATCGCACGATCAGAGCTGAACTTGCCCATCTGTTCCAATTGGATTATTCATGTTCATCCTTGTTATGTTTCCATACCTTTGCAGTGGTCCTGATACTCTTCTTAATCCACTCCGTTCGATCATTATAGGCTTCGTCTACCATACGAAGAGCCTCGATGTCTGAAAAGGGTTCATCAGGGACGCTATCGCCCGCCCAGCAAGTTACTCACAAGAGTCAAAATCTTCAGTGATGAGGTAGTAGTCTCCCTGACGAATCGTGTTGAGCAGGCTGTTCAAATAAATGAGTAACTTCATATACACTTGCTGGAGAATTACTTACGGCTCGTACACGCCCCTGTCACCAAACAACCCAGAGGAAACCGCGTCGAGAACTTGTGCAAGAGCAGGGGACTTCTGCTCGACAGGAACAGGGTGGTATACGTGTTGATAACGAAGGTCTTCCACTGCGGGCGTCAGATGACCGAAGAAGACTACGAGAGAACAGTAAGTCTGTAACACAGGCAGTAAATGCGAAACTACGTACAGACATTGCTAGGGCCGACTTCCTCCGCGATCTCGATGTTCGCGCCATCTATCCAAACAGTTAGATCTTTATGACACTGAATAATGGTACAGTACATACCAACAGTGCCCAGTAAAAGCCCACCGTTCAAGCAGAACTTCATGTTGGACGTGCCCGAAGCCTCTGTACCCGCGGTGGAGATGTGCTGACTGATGTCCGAAGCTGGAATGAGGACTTCTGCCAAGGTGACTGAGTAGTCTGGTAAGAAGAAGACGTTCAAGTAATCCTTCGTGTCAGGATCAGAATTGACCACGCGAGCGACGTTGACGATCAAGCGGATGGTCTAGAAGCTCGTCAGTATCACAAGATTGTGCGTCTCGCTCGTCGAACGAACCAGCTTGGCGATATAATCTAAACGCCGATCAGCTCGATAGGATTGTTGACGCGCGCAAACACTTACACCCTGGGGCGGCTTTGCCTGCGAAGAAGACATTCCGCGGGGTCACCGTCTTCCTCTCCTTGGGAGTCATAGCTTTCAGCTTGAGGTAGCGCTAGAAAAGGTTGAGCGCAAAATTCAATGATTGTGCTATTGATCATGCTCACATGAATGACGCCAAGAATATTGAGAGTTTGGCGCTAACAAGATTGATAGGTCGGATTTCGAGAGGACATGCATTGGTATCTACGTACCTTATACTCGTGCAATCGCTGGAACACTGATCAGCCCTCAAGTTCCGCATTATGTATATGTTTTACTGACCTTGATCTGGACATCGAACAAGGCTTTGGTATTGACGTTAAGACCTAAAGTAACCTGCATGTGATGAGCAAGCTTCTCCTTGTTAGCTTGCTTTACAGCTGCCCAGTCTTCTCTGAAGTCTTCGTCCTCGACATAATCGAGAAGACCCTCAAGTTTGGTAAGGTCCTTGAGCCATATGCTCTTCTCTATGTCCAGAGTCAGGGTGATGAGCCTGCTGAGTCCAGGGTTGCACTGGTATGTTTGACTTAGCCTCGATGGCACATCTATTTCAAAATAGCCACACACCTGGTCCAACCACCGACGAGGAGTGACTTGGCAAGACGATGAGAAGCAGAAATGCATCGAAGATATGATACTCACTGCCGTTGGTCACGTTTCCAAACCTTGCATGAAAAACCTCAGTCAGTATACGCTAATTCAGATTTGAAATCGAACCTACTTGCTAACTCCATAGAAATCTACGAAATCTTTCAAAATAGTCGTCTGAACCAGTTCGCTGTGCAGCTGGAGGAGCGATGGTGCTACTTATTCAGACAGATTCCAAATACCCAGCGAAGACTTACCTCGGCCACGCCGTTGACTTTGCGACTGCCTGCACCACGCACATTAGTGGGAATACGAAATGAGTCCTGCGATGCTCACCGATGCATGCCAGGTGAGCCATGCGAACGTTCTGAGGAATGCTCTCTAAGAAAACCTTTGAGTCATGATTCATTGGTTGTAACATCACAATACCTTCGATTAATGACATCCGTGCAAGCCGTTCCTTGTCTCCAGGGAACTTCCGTTCTACAGCTGTTAGAAAGATCAGTCGAACACTCAATTGGAATCAAGTCTGTCTTTCTTACACTGCAAGAACGACCTGCGGTTCGATGTTTAGGTCAGCGTACAAGACAACATTTTCCACTACTTACAAATTCTGAAATTTAACATGATTCAGTAAAGAGGTTTAGTAATATAACACAAGACTCACGATATCAAATATGATCTGCATGTGCCTACAAAAGAGTGCTTTAACGCCAGTGTATCGTTGCAATGCATGATGCTCACCTAGGCAAGAGATGCTGCATAAGGGGTACGGGCCACGTCTCAAGCGCTTCCTATCATCAATGTCTTGCGTCAGCATCCATATCACAAGAACTGGCATTGTATCGACTTACTGGGAGGACAGTATGATTGGTGAAGAAGAAAGTCTCTGTGACGATGTCCCAAGCAGCATTCCATGGAACTTCTTCTTCATCAACGAGGACTCGCATGAGCTCCGGAACGGCGAGTGTTGGGTGTGTCTTCAGTAAAGTAAAGTTAGCCCCTGGTACGTGCACACGCATATATCGGCCTTACATCGTTCAGCTGGATCGAGACATCTAGAAGAAATGTGAGCATTTGAAATTGAGAACCAATTAGGTTCGCGTACATTGAGGGAACTCTGTGATGGGCTTTCCAAGGTTCTTGAATCGGCGAATGATGTCCGCGAGACTGGCTGCAGTCCAGAAGTACTGCTGCTTCAAGCGAAGTTCCTTTCCAACTTGAAATGGGCCTCTTAAGCACAACCTACTTTTCAAATTGTTGGGAATACTTACAAGTAGTATGGTCGTTGGGGTACAAGACGGATGTGATTGCTGCTGCGCTATTTGAAGACTCGACGGCACGTTCGTAATCCCCCGCTACAATCAAAAGTCATCAGTCGAGTAAAAGGCGTGACGATTTGGCTGTAAACGCACCATTAAAACTGTTTAGATCAAAGCCCCTCTTGGGTTTACTCTCCCACAAACGGAGATTATTCGTGTTGCGCGTGTTACAGCCAGGAATGGGCACATCATAAGCGACAGCAAGAACCTCCTGGCCACCTTCCCAAATGGCGCGGCCGCTTCCATCGGGCAAGCGCTCTGCAAAGCCGTGAAACCGCACCTCATAGCTAACATCAATGCGAGGGAGCTCCCATGGGTTAGAATTTTCCAGCCAGGGATCCGGCGCTTCCAGCTGCTGTCCATCGGGAGAGATGAGCTGCTGGAAGATGCCATACCTGTAGCGCAGGCCGTAACCCCACACAGGAAGCTCCTGGGATGCGGAAGAGTCAAGGTAGCATGCTGCAAGACGTCCGAGGCCACCGTTACCAAGGCCGGCGTCACGCTCCTGGGCCAGGAGATCTTCCATGTTGAAGCCAAGCTTGTCGACCCCCTGCGTGTATTGTTGCTTGAGGCCTAAATTGAGGAGGGCATTGTCGAGCGCACGACCCATGAGAAATTCGAGAGATAAGTAATATGCCCGCTTCCCTGCGGTGCGAGAATAATGCAGTTGTGTGTCATTCCAGTTGATCTGTGCATCGACGATGAGTCAGATGGGTGAAACGATATGAGATAAAAGGACATACGATCAGATTATCGCGGACGGAGAGAGCTGCAGCCTGGTAAGCTCCAAGATTGTCGATCTCGTGTGGTTGGCGAGCCAAAGACGTTTGGACATGGTTGACGATCGACTTGGTGATGGATGGTACGCCTGTGGAGGTGATTGAGCGACACACGAATTGGTTATTCTGATTAGCTACCTGTGTCGAGGCCTCTCAATCCATCCTTCCAGACTTTCTCTTCGCCTCTGGGCCACTTTTCCTTGCCTTCTGAATCTTTTTCTGGTAGATATCCTGTTGAAATGTATCACATATCTCATCGAGGAAACACCTGACGAATTTAGCATACCGGTAAGTGTCCTGACATGTCTGCGGCGACGTTGAACCTTTCCAATGGCAGTAGTATCAAGCACAGATGTCATGTCCAGTCCCAACGATGCTGGAGATCGTGGTTGATAGGGAAGAGACAAGCGCTTTGAGTGGAGTATAGACTCTAGAATGGAAGGACGTCATATCAAATCGACTACGGCGGAAAAAGAGGGGCAATCTGGATGGATCTGGACCCAGAGACGGAAAACATTTTCACATTGGACTTGTTTGTCGTCACAAGCGATGGTCTAGATCGGATCCCAGGATCCACTCACTACTCGGGGGTCATTCGGACCATCCGTACACCAGCAGACAGATAACAAACCGTGTGCGCCTCATCCTTGTCATGACGACCTTTCCGTGTCGATATCCCACAATCTCACTGCGCCATCCAAACTCCCGCTTGCTATCGTCTTACCCGACAAACTGGTTGACCACTTCTTCACTTCCTTCGTCCTTTCAGGCCTCCCCAACTTGAAATTGGAAGCGAGCTATCCCCATGAACAAGTAATAATCAGTTGTCCACCGGGTAGGCACAAGAGCCTAGACCGAATCGGTATGATCCGTCTTTCGGTGAGACACTCTTGCTGATGTTTTTTTTTGGCTTCACAGAGGCGGAGATGAATGATTTTTGGCTCAGGAATCTCACCTGTCGGATGCGGGAAAATTCCAGCTCCTACCTTCAAAACTATACAAATGGCATCACTAGTGACCCAGCATAGCTTGACCCTCACACAGGAGTGCGTGCCTGCGATAGAGTGGGGGTTTTGTTTCGTGCATGGTCGAGTCAGGAGGGGGATCGCTGTTTACCGAGTACTTTGCAGTCATTCATGCTGTGTTCACTCACAGCTTCAGCACGGGCTTAGGTGCGCAAATCGCTCAAGTCTCTTTTTCTTACTGCACACTTTCTTCATTTCTATTTATGTGTAGCCTTGGCATCTCACAGTTTATAGTCCCAGCAGAATTAGATCAGATTCGAACACAATCAAAAAGTATGATTTGACATGAATATGAATGACACGCATCAAAATCAACGAAATACCGAGGGAACATAAATACTGGCACTATTTCAATGTCATCTCCAGCTTCACATGCAGGGTGCCATTGCAGTCTGTATATATAGTATTTCTGCACATTGTGTCGTCAGTCCAATTGCTTTAAATTGAAGAACAGCCACAAAGCATGTCCCCGTTCTGTGGCATGGATATACAGGAGAAGACTTACTCGTACATCGGCCAATGTTCCAGGGTCCATGTGAGGAACCTGCGTAACCGATGGGGGATTGAGGTGTGAAATCATCAGGATGATTTGGCTTCTAACGAATCAAGAAAGCTCACCAGCAAGACGCCATGACCAAAGACCCGCTGGTACGCCCTACTTGCAGATCCTGAGGTGGGATTTCACATCCAGGTTTCCCCGAGTGAGCCTCGATGACCAGGACAGTATCTAGATGCGTTGGCAAGCTTTCATCAGAAAGACTCAAGTTAACGCGGCAAAGCCAGTAGGGTGCCACTGGTGACATTCGGAGCAACCAAATACGCCCTACAAGGATTGAAATATCAGCGTGAGGAACACAGAGAGTCGAGACATGGACCGTACCCGCCGCAACAAATTCTGTGCCAAATTGTCGTTGGGTGAGCAGTCGCTTCTGAAACATTCCAATGCGGAAACAAACGTTAAATTGGATCTTGCGCATGCCGTCCCCTGTATCATGGATCTGGACCTCGTCCGGTGGACAACCCAAAAATTTTCTGAAAGACTCGTCCTCGGCTGATCAGTGCACAAAAATTGACCAGTTGATTAGTACTCTCAGGTGACCAGTCATATGCACTTACAACTGATAACGCGTGCTAATTTCAACTGCACAAACAATGCGTGGTCACCGGTCAACATACAAGCGAGACGCAAGTCGGAGGAGCAAACAGACGAGAATTGAGCGATGAATGAAACAAATGCCGAGAAGGCTTCTCGTCGGTGATTCACAATCGCTCAATACATTGCCGTGTGACCTTCGATATTGAGTTTTTGCAGGAGTTTGGAGAATTCTGCAGGTGAGATAGCAGCAGCACATGTATTGACGGTTGGAACGATAGAGGAAGATGAAAAATCGGGAGCGGAAACGATGTCACGGATGCGAGATAAAATGATTGCTCGTTTCTCCCTCTTCTGCATGAAGGAGAATATCGATGGTTTGCCAGTACATTGGATGGAATCTGCTGATGGCGATTCAAATTCGTACCGGGGAGGTAAGGTAGCAACTGACTTGGTAGCCATTATGGAGGGAAAGTGATGCAAAGGAACAAGAAAATAGGGGCTTGTCGAGTAAGGGGCGGTGGCGATGCTGTCTGTGACTAGTGAGCAACCTTTCACTAAACAGCCACTTAAGAAAGCGATTGATATATATGGATGATCGATGATCGGCGTCTCACGAGAAAGTTCAAGTACTCGGCCTGGTGCAACCAAATATAATTCCCGCAGTTGAGTACGGACTGATGAGGCCAACCGTGACAGTTCATTAGACCAGAACATCAAAAACCAAACTAGTCGCAAAACTACCTTTAGTTTGTCGCCATCAATTCTGACGATTACCACTTTGTGACCATAAACCAAGGGGGACAATCTCCTACAAGCACTTCGACAGCAGGTGCCACGTGCTTTTGGGTTTCCAGCTCCACAAGTAGATGGGTGGAGTGAACTTTGTTCATAGACATGACTGTGGCCGTGGGGCTACGTTACCATGGATCCTACTTCAAAATAAAGTTGTGATATGTAAAGCGGTGGTATTTCTGCTGGCAGCAGGTAAGAGTCGCTACTAGTAGCTCAGTTTCTGTGGCACGTAATGACTGGAAGGGTCAGGTTCTGCTTAGACCATGATGCCAAACAGAATGCTGGCTAGGATAACTACATAAGCGTTATGTTTCGCGAGTATAAGAGCAAGTCATCTTCCTACCGTCCACCTCGCACGAACAATGCGCTTCTCCTTCCTCACCGTCGCTGCGCTGGCGATATCTATAATCTCTGCCAGTGCGTGCCAGAAAGACGGCGGCAGTTGTACCTTTGACCGTGACTGCTGCAGAAAAAATAGTACCTGCGTTTTCCTTGTCAGTAGTAATAGTAGTTCAAGTTTTTACCTGATGACTCACCCTTTGCACCTTGTAATAGGATCCGGGTAGTCCTAAAATCTGCCATAATCCTAGTGAGGGGCCCCTTGCAGGCAGGAACATACCATCCGTGTGTTGTGTTTCAGCTTTCCCATTGGTGCTGTTGTTGATCGAATAATATGCAGTTCGCTGCTGATTGAAAAACAGATAAATGCAATATTTGCAGCAAAGTGAATGAAGTATATATGCGCACTTTTTAGTCTTGGTGTAAAGAGCACTCGAGTTTAATCCAAAGTGGTTTGACCACATGTTACACCATCTTTGATCAGCTACGGCTAGAATAAGGACGATCAACGGTTACAAAACCATATTGTCACACGGAGCAACTGAGGAAAAATATAGTGTAAATATAAGGCTCAATTGTCTGCTTTTGTAGTGGAATGACATGAGCGTGCCAATAAAACGCAACGACCGAAGGGTCACCCCCACGGTGCCCGTCTCCATGTCCCAGACTTTAAGTAACCCACCCGGTGAATAGGTGACGAGCTGCTGTCCACCGGGCAGGCGTAGGATGCCGGTGATGGGGGTGGCTTGCTTCACTTCGATTTTTCGGTAAGGCATTGTCCCCGAATTCTCGTGCTTCGCAGGAGCTGGATACATTATTTTGGTTTCAGGATTCACTTGCTCAATAGGTACGTCATAATTTCAGCTCTTGCCATATGAATCAATCACTTACTCTGAATCTAGATGTACTTGACTTGTGCACGGAAAGATGAATACGGAACGAAATCTGCGACGGCCCCTGCGCCTCTAATGGTGACTGTCTGCGTTCTGAATAGGTATGCAGCAAACCCAGCCCACGAAGCGAACGCGCCATCCAGCACTGGTGATACGCGGACGTGAAATTGTTTCCCCTGCCCCAGCAGTACCAGGGACGGCAGAAAGTGTCGAGGTAGTAGTTAAAGGTGGTAGCTGTGATGATGGAGATGTGATTTGTGCTGCTCCGCTAGGCTTTTGCACAGTACAAGCATTGGAAGGTCGAGATGAGCTGGGAGCTGACTTCTTCTTTCTTGCGTGATAATTCCTCTGCGCAAAGAGGACTCAACGATGAAGAAGAACTGTGAATGAGAAAAAAAACGCACAGGCTTGCCCGCTGTGTAAGGGACCTCACACTCTCGCAACTGAACGTCCGATCCATCTCGTCTGCGGAATATACCAGACACTCGGTTTCGATTCCAGCTGAGAGATCGGGGGCGGGATTGGGTGTCTGATTCAGTTGCCCCATGTGGCTTGAAGAGACGCCAGAAGGTGGAAAATCGACTGAGGATGCTTTGACTTGGTGCTAGAGTGGGACGGTTGTGTAGCCCATGGGATTGGGATAGACTAGTCCGCAACTGCCAACATATTTATCAAAGAATTCAATCACGGATGGAGATCACGTACATTAGCCTCTCGCAGTGTATCATCAAAAAAACCTGGGGGTATTCGAGCAGCACCGTTCATCTTTGGAGCTGGTTGTAGTGTAGCATCAGCCTGGGAGCAGTTCCGTTGTTAGTGTCATTGAAAATGAAATGTATATAAGCTTACAATTTTGTTGACGATAGCGGTGAGGTCCCATGTGTATATGTGACCGTCGGAGCAGCTAGTGATGAGCAACTTTCCATCTGAAGAAAAGGTCGCAGAGTTCACATAGTCTTCATGGTGAAGTAGTGTTCCAATGGGTTGATCGGTTTTGAGGTTCCATAGTTGCACTGTCTTGTCCAAGGGTGCTCCGCTTGCGCATGCAAGGATGTAGCCGCCGTGCTCATTGGGAAATAGTGAAACGGTATTGATGAAGTTTTTGCGCACATTAACTGGAAGAATCGTCCATGTCGCTGTGTTGAATTTAATGGCATTAAACAATCCCCCGGCGATAAGCGTTTTTCCATCCGAGGTCCATGCCAGGCACGTGATTCCGGATCCAGCGTTGAGTGTTTTGAGCAAATCGCCGGTGTTGGCATCCCAGATTTTCAGTACTGCGTACCCGCCTATGGCAATCATATTGGCCTCAGGTGAGTAGCAAACCGCATTCATGCCTTGCATTGCCTTGATTGGTCCGAGGATAGTTTTTCCGCTCTCGACATCCCATACTCTGAATGTCTCATCCCAGGACCCGCTCACCACTCGCCCTCCGCCTGAACTCCAGCACACAGAACACACTCTGTTTGTATGCCCCATTAATTTTTTGATGACCTTGCCCGTGTCGACGTTCCGCAATCTCACTGTGCCATCGCTACTCCCAGTTGCTACTGTCTTGCCGTCCGGCGACAATGCTATGGCGTGCACTCCTTTTTGTTTGTCCTCCCATTCCTCCCCAAATTGCGTGTTCCTCTCCAAATCCCAGGCTCGAAATGACCCATCCAATGAATAAATGATACTCCGCTGTCTATCGGGTAGGTGTATGATGTAGCGGATGTCGTTCTTTACATCGATCTTTCGGCAAGGCGTTATCTCTAAATTCTCGTGCTTCGTAGAGGCTGGATGCTCCGTCATTAATTGGATTTCGGGATTCACTTGATGCGTGCATGATAATTTCAGCTCTTGCCTTCAATCGCCGTACGAATCTACTAATCACTTACTGAGAATGCAGATGTACTTGACTTGTACACAGAAAGACGAATGCAGACACGAAAGTTGCTACGGAGCGGGCGTTTCAATGGATATTCAAGTCAGGAGGGAGATCGTTGAAGTCTTCTGCAGGTGCGTTTTCCTCGCTTCATCCTCGTGTTTGCTCCACAGCTTCAGCGCAGGCTGTGCAATTTAAGCGCCCAATCACGATATACCTCGGCATCACGGTCCTACTACCCCGCAAACCTGCGTCTTTTCCACTCGCTGGATGCGGTTCTGCAATTTTCGTCTCTATCTTTTCTCTCCACATTCTCTCCAAGAGTCCAAACTGTTCCTCTCTCCGACCTTTGTTCTCAACGTCTTATGTGATCTTTATATTATCCTCGTCTTCCTACTAACTAAATTGCAATCTGGCTATAGTAACGATACAATTTTCGTGGATCAGACTATTCAGCCTTTTCAGTAGTCACTTCACTAATAGTCTGCGTTTTGAATAGGCATGCAGCATATCCACCCCACGAAACGAGCGAGCCATCCAGCACCGATGATATGAGTACGCAAGGGTGTTCCCGATGCCCCAGCAGTGCCAGTGGTGGCGGAAAGCGTCGAGGTGGTGGTAGTTGGAGCTCGCTGTGATGATGATGCGTTAGGTTTTTGCGTGGTATGGATTTTGGGAGGTCGAGACGAGCTGGCAGTCGGCTTCTTTCTAGCGTGATAATTTCTCTGTGCGAAAACGAGTCAGCGACAAAGGAGAATCGTAAAACAGAAAAAAACGCGCAGGCCTTCCCGCTGTGCAAGGGACCTCGACCTCTCGCAGCTCGATGTCCGATCCATCTCGTCTGCGTAGCATACCAGATACATTTCGAGTCCAGCTGCGAGGATGGGACCGAGGTCGAGTATGGTGGCCAGTTTCCCCGTGCGACTTTGTGCGACGCCAGAATGAGTGAAAGCGACTGAGGGTGCGTTGGCATGGTACAGTAGTGGGATGATCATATGGCCCATGGGATTGGGATAGACGAATGCGCAACTGAGAACATATGAGTCAAAACGTTGAATAATAGATGGAGATGACGTACATTAGCCTCTCGCAGTGCATCGTCAAAAAACCCTGGAGGTATTCGAGGAGCACCTTTCATCTTTGGAGCTGGTCGCGGTGTAGTATCGACCTGAGGAAGCTGTTGTCAGCGTCATTTAGAATGAAATGTATGTAACATTACAATATCTGAAAGGCCAGCTTCTTTGACAATAGCAGAAACATCCCAAATATATATCTGACCATCCTGGCAGCTAGTGAAGAGGAAATTTCCATCTGCAGAAAATGACCCATCGTGCATCCAGTGTTCAGAACGTTCATGGTGAAGTGGTGTTCCGATGGGTTGATTGGTTTCGGCATTCCATAGTTGTACTTTCCTGGTCATGCATGATGTGGTTGCAAGGAAGCGTGCATCGGGAGATAGGAAAATGCGATGGATGAAGGAATAGACCAAGATTTCCCGCACATCAAGAACAGTCCAAGTGACTGTGTCGAATTTCATAATCTGGAATCCTGTTGGAACCAGACTCCAGGCGGCAAGTGTTTTTGCATTCGAGGACCATGCCAGGCACCTAAAATCACCCTCAAATATTAATATTTTGAGCAATTTGCCTGTGTTGGCATCCCAGATCTTCAGCCAATCCCCCGCTGTGGCAATCATCTTGCCATCTGGCGAGTAGCAAACCGTGCGCAGGTATCCTCCTGCCTTAATCGGTCCAAGTATAGTTTCTCCGCTCTTTACATCCCACGCTCTGAATATCCCAAGATCTGCGGACCGGCCCCACACTTGCCCTCCATCCGGACTCCAACACACAGAAATTATCTCTGGGTACCAATCCAGCTCCATCAATAATAATGTTCTGGTAATGTTGCCCGTGTCGATGCTCCACAACGTCACTGCGCCATCGCAACTCATGCTTGCTAATGTCTTGCCGTCCGGCGATAATGCTATGGAATAAAATTTGTCCTCCCATTCCGTGTCCTGTATGCCCGTCTCCAAGTCCCAGACTCGAAGTGACCCACCCAATGAACGGGTGATGATCCGCTGTCCATCGGGCAAGTACTGAATGTCCTCGACGATGTCACCATTGTGCTCTACTTTGATCTTTCGGTAAAGCATTGTCCTCGAATTCTCGTGCTTCGCAGGAGCTGGATGCGACATGGTTTTAGTCTCGGGATTCACTTGATGGATACGTCATAATCTCAGCTGTTGCCATCAGATACCATATGAATCAATCACTTACTCCGAGTCTGAGTCTAGATGTACTTGACTTATGCACAGAAAGATGAATCTGGAACGAACGTTGCGGTGGTGTGGGTGTTTCTCTTGATGGAGATTCAAGTCAGAAGGGAGGTCATTTTCTACTGGCGCGTTTGCCTCGTTTTATCCTCGCTCTACAGCATCAACACTGGCTGTGCAGATCAAGCGCCCAACACTGATCAAATACCCACTTCCTTCAAGCATCTGCATTGCCTTCGACATCGCAACCATACTATCCCCACCAGCCTGCATCCTTGTGTTTCTCCACAGGTCCAATGCGTATGGTTCTGCAGTCTCCGCACCTATCCCTTGCGCCACATTTCCGTTGAGAGTCCAACTAGACACATTGTATTTTTCTCACTGGCCTTTGTTCTCGTGTTCAACCTGAGTTTTCACCTTCGTTGCCATACTATTACTGGCTAATCCGCAATCTGGCCATCCTGGTCGCAATTTCCTACTCTTCCAGATCTACCTCTACGTACTCGCATCTGTGCAGTAGCAAACAAACACAATGAATAGTCTTCCTCCATCATCGCCAAGACCTTATCCACTAATCAGACATCTATCGCCTTGTCTGCTGGGATGTTTTCATTGTGCGTTTTGTACAGAATACCTCAAGAGAAACAGCGTGCAACATGAAAGAGGTGATGGAATATGGCGGGAGATGTCGACAAACCACCTTTGGCACTCGACGGAACCTCCTGCAGATATCCGAGTCTGTGAGGTCTGCGCAGACTTGACACTAGCTGATCATTTCTTTTTATCAGAGTCGAAGTACTGTTCGATATCACACGATGGAACTTTGAAGCCGCTCGATGCGCGTCGATATCTCTGCATCCACACGGATTTTGGCCCTGGAAATGTCATCGGATGGTAGCATGCCCCCCCCCCCCCCAGCAGGTCAACATTCGCGATAAGAGTAGGACCTTACCTTTTCTGTAGCGTTACGACCATGACTGAGGCATACGTCAGTATGGAGAACTCCACATTAGCAAGAGTCTTTTAACAGAGTCGTGTTCTACCCCCGCCCCATTCTAGCCATCCTTTGTGCATATCGTCGTCCCAATGTACACCAGGTCAAAGCTGGATTTAGCTTTCCTAATGAACGATTTGACAGGCGATCGCAAATGATCATTGTTATTTGATAAAATTGCTGCAGCTGTGCAATCAAATCGGATTGATGACAATCGCAAAGGTAGCAGTTCATCAGGCCGAAAGCATCAGAAATCAAACTCGTTGCAGAACTGTCTTTAGTTGCCAGAAATTACTGACGAACGCCTTGCAATCTACCTTGTGATCGTCAACCGAGATTTTGTTCTTGACAATCCTAAGAATGGGATCAGACACTATTTGAATTGAAGTATAGTCCGAGGATAAACACTTAAGCTTGAAGTACTGAACAGCGCAGAGAGCAACCTACTTCGACTGCAGGGTCTGGGCTTCCGGTTTTCCAAGCAAATGAGAGAGCGTGCTTCTGTTTTTTTTTCACCTGCACAAGTAAATGAGTGGAGTGGAACTTATTCATCGATGGTATGAGAGTAGCCGTGGGGCTACGTTACCATGGGCCTTACAAGTTGTGCCGTAATATTTCTGCTGGCAATGAGCACAAAGAGTCACTAGCTCTGCTTCTCGCGTCATGACCGGACGCCTAAACCAAGATGCCAGACAGAATGGTGGCTAAAACACGACACATTATTTCTCGCGAGCATAAGAGCAAGTCGTCTGCCTACCGTCCACCTAGTCTTCACCCAAAGAATTTTTTGGAGCACTTCATAGCACCCCGCACAAACAATGCGCTTCTCTTTTCTCACCGTTATTGTTGTGCTGACAACGTCTATGATGTCTGTCGGTGCGTGTCAGCCAGATGGCGAGAGTTGCACCAAGACCTGGGACTGCTGCACGAGTGTCTGTGTTCTCATCGTAAGTACTAATAGTAGTTTGCATTTTCACCTGATGACACACCCTTTGCGCCTTGTAATATCAGCCGACTGGTGCTCACATCTGTTATTATCCTGGCGATGATCCCCACCATGGAGGCCGATAAATTTGCATGTAGCAACACACTGGTGTGTTGTGTGCTTTTCCGTTAGTGCTGTTGTTGATTGAATAATGTGCAGTTCACTGCTGAATGAGAAATAGATAGAGGCAATGCCGCACACTGATGAATGAAGTATTTGCGTACTTTTCAGTCTTGGTGTAAAGAGAACCTAGGCTTGTAATACTGAATGGTTTGACCACATGGTATACCATCTTTGATCCAGTCACGAACACGAAAGGCTAGAACAAGGACGATCAACTGTTACAAAATCATCTTGTTATAAGGCTGGCAATGAGTTTGACGGAGAATGATGGCCGATACAAGTGGAATCGACCTGCCGGCGGTGGACAATTTCATGGAGCATAGTCAGTAAGCAACCTTGACAACTTGAGGCTAGACAGAAATTCATCGAAAGCGATCGATTACTCATCAACAACTTGAAGGTTCAGTCCTTGGTTCTCAGACGTAACTGCCCCCAATGCTGATCGACTTATCGAGGCTTCCGAAGCTGTAGATTTCGACCAAAGTTCGTGTTCAATAACAAGTACGATGCAAGTCCATCATACAACATCCATATCTAAGAGTATACACTAAGCAACACGATGAAATACAATAGCTGCGTCCAGCGTGCGATAAGAGTTATGCAATAAACATACAGAGGATACGCCAAGCGATAACGAGGAGAGGAAATACACTAAAGAGTGAACATTCGATGCAAAAGGAGTGTCGATGATGTGAAGTGATTCGGCCAAATATATGTATACGAGCGGAAGAAACGAGTGTTGTAATCATAAAGTTCATGAAGAAT